TTAAACATCTCAGCAGTCCCAGCACCTTCTCAAGTTGTTCAAGAGGTCAACTGTTTGGAAGTGCACTGATTGTAATGATGTTTTCACATGCTCCAGCCACGTATTTCTCTTAAGATAAATACCCCCCACCTCCACCCCCTTCTCATCCCCCAGAGTTCAAAAGTAAGCACTTGAGCTGTTTTTCCTCCCTGTAAAGAAAGGAACTGATTGGGAAAAGCCATGCTGGCAAGGGGACCGCACCTCTTCCCAGATGACATTCTGCAGTGTCAGACCTTGCCAGCAATAGCACACTTCTTCTAAAGACAGTGACTGGATAAACTTTGAAGACATTATGCTAAGTGAAATAAGCCAGACACCAAAAGACAAATATTATATTTTTCTGCTTATAGAAGATCCCTGAATTGTCAGACTCATAAAAACAAAGTGGTTAAAATAGTGGTTATGAAGGGTTGAGGGGAGGAAGGAATGGGGAGTACAATTTCCATCTGGATGATGAGAAAGTTCTAGACAATGATGGTTGAATAACATTGTGATCGTACTTAATGTCATAGAACTGTACACTTAAGAATGGTTAAACTTTTGCTCAGTTCAGTGATGCACAGGTGTAGTTTCAGCTACATGAGAGGCTGAGGCAGGAGGATTACAAGTTTGAGGCCAAGCTGGGCAACTTTGCAAGATTCTGTCTCAAAATAAAAAGGACTGAGGATGTGGTTCAGTGGTAGAGTACCCCTGGGGATCAATCCCTGGACTGCAAAACAAGAACAAAAAAACAAACACAAGTAATTGTTTCTGAGATCAAGGACTTCGAAGAAGAGGCCTGATTACTGCTGGAAGTTTGGCCTCATCAGGCTGACTTGCTTAAAAGACTCCAGATGACAGCAGAAGGGTGAGCTCCCCTTCCCCCTGCCTAACTACTGTCCTAGCCCAGCCCCAGTTATGTCACCTCTGGATCCTGGTAAGACTGCATATTAAGCTGGAACAGTCTCCATTCCTCCTGTTCAACTTTTTTTTTTTTTTTTTTTAGTTGTAGATGGACACAATATCTTTATGTATTTATTTTTATGTGGTGCTGAGGAGCGAACCCAGGCCCTCACGTGTGTGAGGCAAGTGCTCTACCACCGAGCTACAACCCCAGCCCCATCCTGTTCATCTTAAGCATATTGTTAGAATTAGTTTCACAAATCATGTCAAACCTTCTCAGAAAACTTTAATAACTTCCCATTGCCTACAGAATAGCCCAACGATTTAAATGAACTTTTCCAGAGCCTCCACAATCTTGTTCCAATTTACCTCACCACTATACCATTTCCTCCATCTGCCTGGGTTTAGCCATTTCTAAAACATGCTGCTGGACACAGTGGTGAACTCCTGTAATTCCAGTGGCTTGGGAGGCTGAGGCAGGAGGATTGCAAGTTCAAAGCCAGCCTCAGCAACTTAGCAAGGCCCTAAGCAATTCAGTGAGAGACCCTGTCTCTAATTTTTCTTTTTCTTTTTTTTTTTTTTTTTATGGTGCTGGGGATTGAACCTAGGGCCTAGTGCATGCAAAGCAAGCACTCTACCAACTGAGCTATGTCCCCAGCCCCTGTCTCTAAATTAAAAAAAAAAAAAGAGTTGCAGGTGTGACTCAGTGGTCGAGTGCCCCTGAAATCAATCCCTGGTATCTGTCCCCCTCAGCTCTCCAAAAAACAAACCTGCTCTCCATCCTGTTATAAGTTGATGGCTTCAAGACTACCTTAGTCACCAGGATCCAGTTATAAGGTTGTAGCTTCTACAATGTGATTTGGTCACCTTGTTGAAACAACTGTAAACATGAAGGGTTTTTGTTTTTTTGGCTTTGTGGGATTTTCTTTTGGTAGTACTGAGGATAGAGCCGAGGGCCTCACATACTTTAGGCAAGTGAACTATCATGAACTACATCCCCAGTCCTTCTTAAAATTTGAGACAAGGCCTTGCTAAGTTGCCCAAATTAACCTAAAACTTATGATTTTCCTGCCTCAGCATCCCAAGTAGGTGGGATTACAGGTATGTGCCATTGTACCTGGTGCATGAAGGGGTCTTTTGTTGTTTTTTTTTTTTGGGGGGGGGGGGGGGAGATCGCCTTTTAACCTTGAAATAATTTCAACTTTGCAAAATGTTATAAGTTGAAATTATCCCATATGCCCTAAATCCAGATTCCTCTGTTGTTAACCTTTGAACATATTTGCTTTATTATTCTATGTGTACATGCACATATACATATAGAATAAAAAATACATATACACATATCTATACATATAGGTTTGTCCCCTCTCCACATCATTTGAAAATAAGTTGTAGACATCACTCCCATTTACTTCCATATGTATTTGTTTATCCAAGTCAAGAAATTAATATTGACAAAATACTACTATCTAATACATAGACCTTATGCAAGTTTTGCAAATTGCCCAATGGGTTTTCTTTATTCTTTTATTTATTTATTTATTTTCTTCAGGCTGGGCCGGAACTTGTGATTCTCCTGCCTCAGCTTCTCGAGTTGCTGCAATAATAGACGTATGCCACCATGTTCTGCTCTAATATTCTTTATAGCCAAAAAACAAATGTGCAGAAAAATCCTTTTCTCTGGCCCAGGTTCTAATACAGGATCATATTCTGCATTTAGCATAAACATCCTGAAAAATCTAAAACAAACAAAAAATGTTTCTAGAATACATCAACTTGTATAAACTGGTATTTTTAAAAAAATGGAGCCTGGCTGTAAGCTAGAAGATAAACTTCTGTATAATGAGTGTCTTTGTAAATGCATCACACAGCTGGAAGACTACAGCTCTCATCTGTTTGCTATAAGTCCACAGGAAATCCACTATCCGGAATTCATTAGGTAGAACAAAGAAAAGGGAAGAGAATGGCTATGTGTGATAAGGACCTGTAAGAAGCTCTATGGACTATAATCCCAGTGACATGGGAGGCTGAGGCAGGAGGATTACAAATTTGAGGACAGTCTGAGTGATTTAGCAGGACCCTGTCTCAACATATATTTTTTTCACAATATCTTTGTTTTATTTATTGATTTTTATGTGGTGCTGAGGATCAAACCCAGAGCCTCACATGTGCTAGGCTAGTGCTCTACCCCTGAGCCACAACCCCAGCCTTTAAAAATTTTAAAAGGGGGCTAAAATATTCCTCAGTGGTGGAATGCCTGTCCAGTATGCTCAAGGCCCTGGGGTTCAATACCCAGTGCCACACACACACACACACACACACACACACACATACACACACCCCAAAAGAAGCTCTACAGCTCTTATTTTTGGTTACCCTGGGCCTGAGATGTCACTAATCGTATCACGCTACCATCACAGCAAGTTTGAGAAGGAGGGAAAAGCTCCAAATGCATGGGTGGGAAACCCCCAGAGCAACTCCATTCTTCTCTACAGTGGATGTGTAGAGTTTCTGTCTTACCGGAATTTTCAATGCATCATCACATTTGCTCAAAAATAATATAGGACAATGATAAGACAAAAATGTGGGCACTCAGCCTGAGAAATGAGGTCAAGTTGGAAAGAAAGCCAGCAGACAAGTACTTGAGTTAAAAAAGCAAATGCAGCTCCTGGCATTCTATGGTAAGGAATCTGATGCTTCCGCCTATTTGGAGCTGTATCAGTCCACTGTTGATCATGATCTCTGAGGCGACATTATCAGTGGACATCAAAACCCTGGCCTCCCAATACTCTCCTTTCTTAGTTTACCTTTGAGAATACATCAGGAATACTGGTACCGACTGACATATGCAAAACTGCTAGCCACGTCTAGAAGAATATTAAAACACTATGAGGGCTGGGGTTGTGCTTGCCTTACATGTGTGGGGCACTGGGATCGATCCTTGGCACCACATAAATAAAATAAACCTACTGTGTCCATCTACGACTACACATTAAAAAAAAAAAAAGTCACTACGAGAAGCCAGGTGCAGTAGTGAATACCTCTAATCCCAGGAGCATGGGAGGCCGAGGCAGGAGGATCCCAAGTTCAGAGCCAGCCTCATCAAAAGCAAGGCACTAAGCAACTCAATGAGACCCTGTCTCTAATAAAATACAAACTAGGGCGGGGGAAGTGGCTCAGTGGTTCAGTGCCCCTGAGTTCAATCCTTGGTACCCCCCTCAAAAAAAAGTTACTATGAGACACCTTAATATCATCTTGTCCATTGAGAGTTTTTTTGTTTGTTTGTTTTAAACATTTATTTTTTGTTGTAATTGGATACAATGCCTTTTTAAAAAATTATTAATTTATTTTTATGTGGCGCTGAGGATCGAACCCAGGGCCTCACATGTGCCAGGGGAGCGCTCTACCGCTGAGCCACAACCTCAACCTCTGTTTGTTTTTTGGTGCTAGGGACTGAACCCAGGACTTCACAGGATATACTCTACTACTGAGCTACATCCTCAGTCCCCAGTGATTTTTCATATTCAATTTTCCCCCTTTTTAAAAAATGTTTTACTTATTTATTGGTATTGGGGAATGATCCTGGGGCACTTAACCTCTGAGCCATATCCCCAGCCTTTCTTATTGTTTTAGACAGGGTCTTGCTAAGTTGCTGAGACTGGCTTTAAACTTGTGATCCTACCTCAGCTTCCTGCGTCACTGGGATTTCAAAAGTATGTGCAACCGTGCCCAGCTCTATCTCTTAAAAAAATGGTGAAACAGCTGGGAGCAGTGGCACATGTCTGATCTTAGTGACTCAGGAAGCTGATGCAGGAGGATCCAAATTTCAAGGCCAGTCTCAGCAACTTAGCAAGACCCTGTATCAAAATAAAATATAAGAAGGGCTGGGACGTGCCTTAGTGGTTAAGCACCCTCGGGTTCAATCCTCAGTACCACACACACACACACAAAAAAAAGGCAAAAGAGGAAGAAATACATATCATTCCATACGTAGATTCGTGTACTACAAGAACACAATTCCTCTAATGATTTACACAACTCAAAGTGCAGGAAACTGATTATATTAAATCAACTATATATCAGCAATGGATAAAAATCAAGCTTTATTACTTATTTTTTGGCACTGCAGTCAGGATTCATAGAATGGGTCACTTCAAGCTACTTGGGTACCAGTGAATACATATGCCCACAAAGCACTCAGCGTAGAGGGACAGATCTTTGGATGCTGCCTCTGCAGTATAATAGAGAATGAGTCTTTCCATAAAACAAATTGCAATTTTTATCTGAACATTCAAATTCTGGATTTTTGCAGTGGCTTCAGTCGGCAAATTAATCATCATTCATTACTTGGAACATGAAAAAAATTATAATTCCTCCCAAATGTCTTTATTTAACTACACATCACTTGTCTCCTCTGCATTTAGAAATGCTTCACAAGCTGAGAAAGGCAAAACCATCATAATCCAGACATGCATGTAAGGATTTGGCTTTAACCATTTAATGATACTTTGAATGGTATCTTACGAATCTTTTTCTGGGAATTTGTCTGAACAGGGGTGAATTGGTGGGCTCAGACTAGTTCAGAGTAAAATGGCTAATGTATCACCAACTTTCTGAAAGACACTCAGAGACAAAGGAAATAAAGGATGAGACCAAGTACTAAACACCTTTGCTCACAAATTTTACAAAAAACAGAAAAGCCAGCTCTATTTAATCCAGCATGTGGATGCCTTAATGAGTTACCAAACCTGTAAAGGAATTACCAAGATTTTGTGAAAATCTTCTCTCCTAGTCACATGGTCAAATATGTAAAAACACACACTGACAAACTTCTAAATTTAACATGACTTCTTCCAAAAACAACTATCTTCAGTTGCTTTATTCTTGCCTCTTCACAGTATAGTGGTGATGTTGGGTGATGGGAGTAACATCAGGAACGCCAGAAGGAGGAAGTCAGAAAGCCCTTGGGGACAGGAATCTCCTTCCGTTGCAAACATTTCTGGTCAGGAAAAGAAAAAAGAGAATGAGTTAAGACAAAAAGAGAATGAGTGTGCATTACTGGGGATTGAACCCAGGGGTGCTCGACCATTGAGTTACACCCCAGCCCTTTATATTTTAATTTTCACTTTGAGACAAGGTCTCACCAGGTTGCTGAGGCCATCTTTGAACTTGTGATCCTCCTGCCTCAGCCTCCTGAGAGGAATTACAGGTGTATGCTTCCATACCTGGCTCAGAATGAGTTTCTAATAACACTGTATCTTATGCTTTACAGTTGGAAGAAATTTGGAGGGACAAACAGCAAGTTTAAGTCCTCTGGAAGAGTAGACAAAGGAAAAAGCCCATAAATAAGACTAATGGTTCTGTGTAAGACTAGACAAATGAAGTGCTGTTATTACGCCTGTTCCATCCTTGTCCCTACAGCGTGGCTTCATCTGTCACCATCACTGTTTTCCCAACGGGGCTCCTAGAAGCTCAAAATCAGTGTATTACTTTAGTACACCTACTATGGAGTTTCAAATTATTTGTGAAAATTTACCTCTTAAAACTTCTTGGCAGTTGGAAATAGGGGGAGAATCCAATTGAAAGTATAGTCTCTTCTTGTGGAGAAAAGTGACCACATTTACCAGTTCCCCAAACCCAAGATAGAGAAAGGAAATTTGGTCAATAAGCAAAACTTGTATTGATGAAACCAGGCATGGTGGCCACACCTGTAATTTCAGCTACCTGGGAAATGAGGCAGGAGGATTGCAATTTTCAAGGCCAGCTTTGTCTCCAAATAAAAAAATATGGGGTTGGGATGAAGCTCAGTGGCAAAGCATCTTCCTTGCATTCACAAAGCCCTGGGTTAGACCCCCAGTTCCACAAAAGTATAAAAAAAAAAAAAAAAAAGAACCCCACCAAATAAAAAATACAGGGCTGGGGATATAGTTAAGTGATACAATACCCCTGAGTTCCATCCACAGTATCAGCAAAAAAAAAAAAAGTATTAGTGAGAGAAGATTCATTATATATTTTATTCATCTCTTAGGGTGGCTGCTTCACAGGCAGCATGAAGAATGATATGCAGGAAGAAGATGAAATGGCAGCCCCAGTCCAGAGAGAGAGGCAAGTGGGAATCATTAACAAACAGCAGGGCTGGGATGATCTAGAGGAGGAGGCTGCCATCAGTGTTTGGAGGTGCGGGACTTGTCAGGCTCAGGTGAGTCTCAGGTCAACAGTTTGAGATATATTAGGCTGAGGACATCTTACCTCCAAGAACTGCTTGAGGCGTATGAAAGAACCCATCTGTCCTGAGCTTGTGATGGCTTCAATTCTACAGGGAGAAAAAGGAGATCTGTGAACCCCCCATGATACACACCTCTTTTGGAGGGTGTGTATCAGCACACTACTGATCTGGAGTACAGTGTGTCCCACTGACTCACAGGGCTGGCTAATAAGCTAAGGGTATTGCTGCTCTTCCAAATGATCGCAACCTTTTCAAGCCAGAGAAAAAGGAGAAGGGAGCACACTCCTTTCCAGGGTCTTTGTGATCAGGGCTTTGCCATTAGTTACCCCATATGATTTGATGAGGGGACTTAACCTCTTGGCTTAACTCATGGCTACATATAATCACCATCCTAGATTATCTGGGGGACCCTGGGAAAGAACAATTTTTAAAAATGCCAGATATCTTACTCTAAGACTTTCCTAATTGTGTTTCATTTAATCAACAATATTTTAAAAAGACTCTCATTTAGAGTTCAAAAGTATTTATTCAAATATAAAAGAGAAGTATAGGGGACTGGGGTTGGGTGGCTCAGTGGTAGAGCACTTGCCTAGCACACATGAGGCACTGGATTCCATCCTCAGCATCACATAAAAATAAATAAATAAAATAAAGGTATTGTGTCCATCTACAACTAAAAAATTTAAGCAAAAAAAAAAAATAATAACAGAGATATACAGGAGTAAAAAGATGTGATCCTTAATACAGGCTTTTTTCCTCCCATATTTTTTTAGTCATCCATGGACTTTTATTTGTTTGTTTGTTTATTTAACTTTTTAGTTGTTGACAGACCTTTATTTTATTCATTTATTTACACGCGGTACTGAGAATTGAACCCAGTGTCTCACATATGCAAGGCAAGTGCTCTACCACTGAGCCACAACCCCAGCCCCTATTTTATTTATTTATATATGGTGCTGAGAATTGAATCCAGTGCCTCACACATGCTAAGCAAGTGCTCTACCACTGAACCACCACCCCAGCCCTTAACACAGGCTTTAAAAAAATTTTTTTCAGTGCTGGGTTGGAATCCAGGGCCTTGTGCAAGCTAGGCAAGTGATCTACCACTGGCTACACCCCTAGCATTTTTAATTTCAGTGAAAAATAGCATGTAATAGCACTCCAGGGTATCTCTACCTGGTTCACTACTGTTACTAACTAAATCCCAGTTGCCTGCTCAACAAGCCTGATACCTTGGGAAGTAGTCCTCCTTGATGAGTAGTATCATCTTCCAGAACTGGACTTGGTACTGCTTCATGAGGGCATTCCCACACACCTAACAGAAAAGACAAGAACCATGAGGGCAGGGAGGAAAATCCACTCCCAGGACAGATCCACAAAGTGGGATCAGCCTTTGCCTTTCACACCTCTCAAAAAATATCAGCCATACTACTGAGCTAGCTAACGAGGGAATAAATGGAAAGAAACCACTCTTCTACCACAAGCATTTCTCTGTATATAGCAATACACACACTGTCAGGTCTTAGTGAACAATTCTTCTTTTACTCTACCAAACCCAAGTCGTTCTGAAGGTCTGGCACCCTCCCAACCCTAGTAAGAAGCAAATAGGGGATACTACTTGTGTTCTCAAAGATTCAGGCTCACTGTTAGTGTATGGTGCCTCCAGGAACTAAAAGCAACTAGGAACTACTAGCATTACTGGTGAAATGGCCCCAGACCTGTTATGGCATGTTCCCTAAGCATTCTTTTTGTTGTTGTTGTTACTGGAAATTGAACTCAGGGGCACTCAACCACTGAGCCACATCCCCAGCCCTATTTTGTATTTTATTTAGACAGGGTCTCACTGAGTTGCTTAGCGCCTCACCACTGTTGAGGCTGGCTTTGAACTCGCGATCTTCCTGCTTCAGCCTCCCAAGCCATTGAGATTACAGGCGTGCGCCACTGTGCCCGGCCCTTAAGCATTCTTTAAGAAGTATCTACTTTCCGTGGAAACCCTTGCTGTCACCCTACTGTGGTGACATGCCACAAGGCAGAAATAACACAAGCTAAACAAACTCTGGTTTTAAATGTGGTGGTCCCTTAGAGGCAGACAGAACTGTATATAGCCTTCTAGATAGGGAAGATACCTGACCCAAGCTGGGTATGGTATTTTCTCTCCTGGAAGTAAGGAATCTCAGAACAGTGAAATATTGGTCCCAATACATTGAGTGATCATGCTGAGATGAGTGACAGCCAGGATTGCCGCCTCCCCTACTACATGCAGAGAAACTGGCAATGTTAGCCAACAGAGCAAGAGTGAGGCAGCTTGCAGAGACAGTGGTTATGAAAGTCATATGGTGCCACAGAGAGACTATCCTGGTGCCTGGTGATATTCCAGTGCCTTGGTTCCATGCTCTAAAGAGATTCAACTGCATGTCCTACCTTGGTTGTGGGAGTCACTTCTATATCACTAAAACTAATGCTATTTTTTAACTTAAGCTAGGATGCACCATTTTCTTATTTTGGTAATGAAAAAAAAAACATCTACATAGAGAAGGCAAGTACAATGCTTAGAAAAAGTGAAAGCCAGAGCTTTCTTGTGGTTTGGTAAAAACATCTGCAACACTGGTGTAATAAATACTGTTCACCTCCAGGCTTATTTCTACACTGCTTACCCATCCTTGTACTCAATGTCCTGAGGCCATCTCAACCACTGGCTTTCTCTTGTGTGGTATCTAAATTCCGTACCTCCAAGAAGTCAAACAGGAGAGTGGCTGTCACATCTGACAGAGGTTCCATGTTTAAGATCTGGGCCAACCAGCGCCAGCCATGATTTAAGCCATGAGGGTGAATCTATGAGGAGAGAAGTTTTACCATGATTTGATCTCATTTTATTCAGAGATCTAAACTCTCCATGTTATTCAGCTACTACCAAGTAGACATGAACACCAAGATCATTTCGCCCAGGAACATGCCACAAGGCGGAAATAACACAGGCTAAACAGATTCTTGTTTTTTTTTTTTTTTTTTTTGGTGCTGGGGATGGAACTCAGGGCCTTCTGCTTGCAAGGCAAGCACTCTATCACCTGAGCTTTTTCCCCAGCCTCAAACTTTGGTTTTAAATATTCTAATCAATGTGTACACTCTCACACCTTCTTTACAGGATCCCTTTGACACATACGACAACTTCAGTTTCAGAGATTCCATAGGCCAATACTTACAGTATTAACCTTTTTTTTTTTTTTTTTGTGGGGGGTAACATAACCAGGGATTGAACTCAGGGGCACTCAACCATTGAGCCACATCCCCAGCCCTATTTTGTATATTATTTAGAGACAGAGTCTCACTGAGTTGCTTAGTGCCTTGCTGTTGCTAAGGCTGGCTTTGAACTCGTGATCCTCCTGCCTCAACCTCCCCAGCCACTGGGATTATAGGCATGCTCCACCAGGCCCAGCTTAAAACTTTTTTTTTTTTGAGATGGAATCTTGCTATGGCTTTACACTCATAATCCTACCTCAGCCTTCGTATCACTGGGATTGTAGATATGCACCAATATGTATGGCTCTTATTGACATTCTATTTTTCTTGGTACCTTTAGCTTAGAACCTAGACACAGCAATAAAAACTTCTTGGATTCAATCAACTTCTATTTTTTTGAAGTCTGTTAACTTCTCTACCTCTCTACCTGTACTCCTTGAGAAAAAAATGAGCTGAGAGGTCAAAGCCCAGAACCCCAGCCATGGCTCTGTCACTGACAGATATGAATCCCTCCAGCTTTGAATGCTTCCATTGCCTATCTGTGAGGTAAGCAATGGGACCTAGGTAGATTCCAAGGCCCCAACCAGGGGTAAGATGACAACTTCTTGCTCATCCCTCTAATAAAAAAGCATAGGGCTCAGTGGTACAGTGCTTGCTTAGCATGCACGATTCCCTGAGTTCAATCCTGAATACCTTCTAAATCTAATGAAAGACTTATAGCCTCTCTTCTGGTCTATGAAGCCAGATGCAACGGTGCACCTCTTGGGAAACATGCAGGAGGATCACATATTTTAGGCTAGCCTGAGCAACTTAGCAGAACACTGTCTCAAAAAGATAAAGTAAAAATGGTTGAAAAATATATCGCTCAGTGCTTGCCTATTATGTGTAAGGCCCTGGGTTCAATCCCTAGTAAAGCAAAAAAACCAAACAACAACAAAAACCTGTGAAGGTACCAGACACTTTCCCTCATTGTTTCACTGGAGTGATTCGGAAGGAAGGCTGCTATGGTTTGGAAGTGTCTCCCAAAGGCCTATGTGTTAAAGGCTTGGTCACCAGCCTATGGCACTATTGCAAGATGATGGAACCTTGAAGAGACAGAGCCTAGCTGGAGGAGATCAGCCACTGGGATGTGCCCTTGAGGGAGATTTTGGGACCCCACCCCTTCCTGTCCCTCTCTTGCTTCCCAGCTGCTGTGGATGGGCAGCTTTACTCTACCACATACTCCTCCTGTGAAGTATTGCCTTGCCACAGGCCCAAGAACAATGGAGCCAGCTGAACAGACTGAAACCTACGAAACCATAAGCCAAAATGAACCCTTCCTCCTTGTAAGCTGTTTCTCAGGTATTTTGCTGCAATAACAGAAGCCTGACACCAAGGGAAATGTTTGCTGTGGGTGGAATCACCAACATGGACCCTCATCCAACTTCTCATTACTGGCAGTTAGCCTTTTCTACCCACTTCTTGTTGGTTTCCATACGGCCACCGGAGCTGGATGATGGCAGCATAGAGACGAATCATCCCAGACATGCGTTTTAGAAAGTTGTCCTGCTGTTCCACCTTGGAATCCTTCACTTGGTAGCCGAGCATCCTACATGGGAAGAGAAAAACTCAATGTGACAAGGCCACAATAAGGGTAACAAACCAGAGATTACTTTTCATGGGTAAAAGTAATAATATTGTTACGTTTAACATTATAGCAAAGCACTGGTATTCGTCAACAAATTTGTTTCACAAAAGCGCTGCAGGGTAAACTCACAGGTAAAATCAGAAGGTAATGGCTATCACTACCCCATTTACAAATAGGAAAACTAATACTCAAAGACGTTAAATAATCTACCCATTTTTGCAAAGCTCTTAGATGAAAAGCAGGGATAATTTCTAAGACCACTGGATTCTAGGTCTAATATTATTTCTAACAAACTATTATTATTGATATCTAACACCACAAATCCCAAAAGTTGTCCAGGTTACATCAAAGACCTTTCTGACAGAATATTCAAGGTACACAGAAGAACTGTGAGAAGGAGGGAAAAAAAATTCCAATTCTATTTATATTCTATTAATCACCCCAGAGAGAGTGAATAAGGAGAAAAACAACTTCACCGCTGATAGTCTTCCAAAGCCATCCCCTCCTTGAAAGCTGGATAGAAAGGAACAGAGTAAGGACACTTCTTGTGTAGATGAGCAAGGATGAGGTCCCCCACTCTGGGGTGGAGCTCCCAGATCCCAGACGCCACAACTGCGATGGGGAATGCTGCTTCATGATGAGAGGCCACCTCCTCTTCCCCTTGTTTCTGAGAACAAAGAGATGGGGGACAATTTTAATTAATACCCAAAAAGGTGTATATCAGCCTCCTCTTCCCATACCTCTGAGTTTCTCACCACAAATTTCTCTGCCAGTTTATACTGAACAAAGTCCAAGCCCTGTGGGTTAAGTGTGACGGACACAGAGCGACCACCAGATTGAACAGGCTTTCCAGAAAGCAGGCTGTGGATCTTGTCAAAGACCTCCTTCAGCTTAGAACCTGTGCATGACAGGGAAAAAGTCAGTGAAAAGGCACAACAAATGCGTCAATCTATTTTCATCAAGTGATTACCAAGCATCTATAGAAATCCAACTGTGATCCTCTACAGAAGTTCAGAGCCAAAAGCAAAAACACTGGTGCAAAAAATTATATAAAAATCAAATTCATGTTATGGGGGCTGCAAAATATACAAGTCATGGTACTATTCCAAAGAAGTTCCTTATTTGAGAATGAATTGTGTGTGTGTGTGTGTTAGTGGGAATTGAACCCAGGGACATTCTGCCACTCAGCTACATTCCCAGCCCTTTCTATTTAATTTCTGAGACAGATCACTAAGTTACCGATGCTGGCCTTGAACTTGTAATCTTCTTGCCTCAATGTCCCAAGTAGCTGAGAGATTATAGGCTGTACTAATGTGCCCAATGGGAATGAACTAATTCTGAAACTGACACACGACAGAGAAAAGAAAAACAGTTGTTAAATAGTGTTACAGGGGCTGGGGTTGGGGGCACAGTGGTAGCACACTTGCCTGGCATGTGTGAGGCACTGGGTTCAAATCTCAGAACCTCATATAAATTAAAACACACACACACACAAAAAAAAAACAACGGTCTATCAACAACTAAAAAAATAAAATAAAATAAGTGTTACAGATCTCACAGACTGTGGTGGCTATCCCTAGAGGAATTAGTTGCACCTTTAGGAAGAACCTGCTAAAGGATCTTCCCAACTTGAGATGATTTTCCCTTTCTCTGGGGCTCCTACATCCTCAAAGACAAAGGAGTGGGATCTTGTGAAAGCTTGGACTGTAAGTCCAAAGATCCATGTGGTACAGGCTCACTTCCCAGCTCAGTGCTACTGGGAGATGGAGGAACTTTTCAAGACATGGGGCTTCTTGGGCGGAAAGCAGAATAAAATAGACATTATTATTGATGTATGTATATACGTGACTGCATGACCAATGTGATTCTGCAACCTGTACACTCAGAAAAATGAGAAATTATACCCTATCTGATACAAATATATGATATGTCAAGATCATTGTACTGTCATGTGTAACTAATTAAAACAAAACAAAACAAAAAAGACATGGGGCTTCTTGGGAGGTTTTCAGGTCACCGGGGACATGCCCTCCAAGGGGACTGTGAGACTATGGTCTCTTCTTCTCTCTCTTTTTCACCTTCTGACCGTTAGGGTCATGATGTGCTACCACATACAAAGAGCAACAGGGCCAACTGATCTAGACTGAAATCTCTAAAAATGTGAGAGAAAACAAATCTATTCTCTATAAGCTGATTATCTCAGTTATTTGTCATAGTAAAGAAAAGCTGACAGTTCCTAATCGTTATGTTTGAAAGAAGACCCTGAGTGCCCAGCCCTACAAGTAGGTACTAGGCAGTCAGGCTGAGTAAACTGAGCAACGAGAGTCAATTCCTTAGAGTGCTGACCTGCAACACATGCACTCTGGAAGTAGTGGGGTCTGACACCTGCCCGTGAACCAAAGACCAGGAATCCATAAAATAAGAATGTGAGACAAGAGAGGAACAGAGAACTAAAGTTTCTAGCTCCTAAGACCCTACTCCATTCCTGCTATTGGAAATATCCCTTGATTTTTAGGATAAACACTATTCTTTTTTCTTAAGCAGATCTGAATTTGTTTCCATTATTTACAATCAAATTTTTCCAGGTGCAGTGGCACACATCTGTAATTCCAGTGGCTTGGGAAGCTGAGGCAGGTGGATTACAAATTCAAACCCAGCTTTAGCAACTTAGCAAGATCCTAAGCAACTTAGTGAGAACCTGTCTCTAAATAAAAAATATAAAGGACTGGGGATGTGGCTCAGTAGTGAGCCCCTGGGTTCAATTCCTGATTAAAAAAAAAGTTTTAATTAATATATCACCTCCAGTTGAGAATACCCAACAAAGTTTCTATTTTTTTTTTAGAATTTTAATATTTATTTCTTAGTTTCCGGCGGACACAACATCTTTGTTTGTATGTGGTGCAGAGGATCAAACCCGGGCCGCACGCATGCCAGGCGAGCGCGCTACCGCTTGAGCCACATCCCCAGCCCCCCAACAAAGTTTCTAATCACTTCAAAAATGTAACAAGTCTCAGAAAAATCCTATTCAAAAAAATGATTCAGGAGGGAAGCAAGAATCAAATAATGAAACACCACAGAAACCCTAAAATGAATAATCCCCAAAAAACAGAAATAGTGACCCAAACCTTACTGAAATGTTAAAAATATATATTTCCATACAAATTTCCCTAGGTCACACTCGGCTACGTCATAGTCTATTGCTACGTTAAGGGCAGTTTCAAAAATCCCCACTGGCTGAGTCCCCCACCCACCCCTCTCTCCCAGCCTTTCCATATGCCTGACATGGCCTCCCAGATCCATGAGCAACCACATCCTCATTTAAATTTTCCTCCAAATCTAAAGACTCATGGATATTTGCCTTTTTTTCAGAGATAGAAAGGAGGTTTTTTTTTTTTTGTTTTTTTTTTTAAATATTTATTTTATTTTTTTAGTTTTCAGTGGACACAACATCTTTGTTTGTATGTGGTGCTGAGGATCGAACCCAGGCCACACGCATGCCAGGCGAGCGTGCTACCGCTTGAGCCACATCCCCAGCCCTTTTTTTTTTTTTTTTTTTTAATTTCCCCTAATTCAATACTCATTGAAAATGAATTCTAGAGTATGCCTTATGTCTGGCTACCCTGGAAATTCTCAAGGACTGAAAGTTAGTGATAGAGAAACAGAAATTAAGCCATATGTAAAAAACGGAAAAGAGCAAAACCAGAAACTAATTAGATGTAGGGAAAGAAACAGGAAGTAGTCAGGAAGATGACTCTTGGCTTCGGCCATAGCAACTGATAACAGGGTGACTGATTACTCAGGAAATAGGAAGAAAGAGGCATAAGCAAGATGTCACATTCAGATCTGACCACACTAAGCTGGTGGTAGCTAAGAGAAATCCACCAGAGATGGCCTTCAGGAGGCTAAGCTAGAGAATCTGAAGCTCAGAGGAAAGAAACAAACCAGGACAGACTTGAGAAAGAGTCTTGGGCAAGAGGGGGGACATAGGAGGAAAAGAACAGAGATATGAGCAGATCTCTAGGAAACACCTACAATTAGGTGGGGACAGGAGACTGGGACCCCACAAAGGATTAAGAGGGAGAGAGAAGCAGAACCTGGAAAGAAATGTCGTCATGCAGGCTGAAGGAGAGTTGAAATTTTTAGAGAAGAGAATAATCAACAGTGTCACATGGAAACATGATAAAGACAAAAAAAATTAGAAAGCAGAGGATCAAGGGAAACTTATAATGTGAGACTCACACATATTTGAAAGCTGAGGAAAAGCAGCCTGTAAAAGGGAGTAATTGCAGAAAACAGGAAAGAAAGGCAGGGGATGGGAACAAGGGCAAAGGCAGAAAGGTAAGCTAAGACAGGAAGGTAGCCTCAGCCTGAAATAGGCAACTAGGAGGTCAGGGCTGCGAGAGGCAGAAGGGGCAGACCCCCCAGGAGCACACACTGCTGTTTCCACTTTCCTGCTGTCGGACGAGGTGTGGTTATATGCACCGAGGGGTAAGAACCAAGAGAAGTTGAGGAGAGCAGTGAAGGTGTGGGGTGGTTGTCCAGACACCTCTCCCCACTTGCTGTTTCTATCAAGGGAAAGAGCACTTTAAATTCTACCAAGTGATATGTGTTTATTTATACTTTGCATTGTTCCAGAAAGAATTTCAGGCAACAACATGTTACATGAGTTTTGCCATATGGCTTTCAAGGGCAGGAAATCCTATATTTTAGGTGACAAGTTAATGGGGCACTGGGGCCCAATACAAGTGAGAGCAACTTTCTACCTGTGCATACTCCTCTGCCCAGGGATGACACAGTCTCATTTATAGGTGTCCTTGTCTATAGCTGTGGAAAAATAAAATAATCTCTGTTCTTAAGAAGGGTGTTGAGGGGGGCTGGGGATGTGGCTCAAGTGGTAGCGCGTTCGCCTGGCATGCGTGCGGCCCCGGTTCGATCCTCAGCACCACATACAAACAAAGATGTTGTGTCTGCCGAAAACTAAAAAAAAAAATTAAACAAAATGATTACTATATCTTTAAAAAAAAAAAAAAAAAAAAAAGAAGGGTGTTGAGGGCTGGGGAAGTGGCTCAGAGGTAGAGTGCTCGCATAGCATGCATGAGGCACTGGGTTTGATCCTCAGCACCACGTAAAAATAAAATAAAGATACTGTGTCTACCTATAACTAAAAAATAAATATTTTTTTAAAAAAAGAAGGGTGTGGGGCTGGGATTGTGGTTCAGCAGTAGAGCATTCGCCTAGCACGGGCGGGACCTGGGTTCGATTCTCAGCACCACATAAAAATAAAGGCATTGTGTTGTGTCCATCTACAAAAAAGATTCTCTCTCTCTCTCTCCGTCAAAAAAAAAAAAAGAAGGGTGTTGAGCCGGGTGCGGTGGTGCACGCCTATAATCCCGACAGCTCAGGAGGCTGAGGCAGGAGGATTGTGAGTTCAAAGCCAGCCTCAACAACTTAGTGAGACCTTGTCTCTAAACAAAATATAAAAAAGGGCTGGAGGATGTGGCTCATGTGGCTCAGAGCATCCCTAGGTTCAATCCCTGGTGAAAAAAAAAAAAAAAGAAGGAGAAGGAGAACAAGAAGAACAAGAAGAAGAAAGGTATCGCCCTCTCAGTTTCTGACTTTTTTTTTTTTTTGCCATACTGGGGATGGGAAGCAGGGTATTACACATGCTAGGCAGACACTACAACTGAGCTACATTCCTAGCCCCTTTACTTTCTACATCTCAGTCTATGAAGAAAAAAGAAATATGTCTTAAAGTATTAGCCTGGCAAGCTTGAGGTTTGCAAAAGCTAATGTAAGACTTAAAAGCAAAGACTACAAGTCATAGGTTCCTTTCATGATGTCTGCAACAGTAACTTTCAACTTTAAAGTTAAAAGCCATTCTAAACAATTTCCTATTGATACATAGCTTAGTAAAAACAAGCCAAGCTGAGCACAGTGGCATACACCTGTAATCCCAGGCACTACACAGACTGAGGTAGGAAGATCCAGAGGCCAGCCTGGGCAACCTAATGAGATAGTGAGACCCTCAGGAACTTAGTGAGACCCTATCTCAAGAAAAGAAATAGAGGCCGGGTAAGGTGGTGCATGCCTGTAATTCCAGTGGCTCGAGAGGCTAAGGCAGGAGGATCACAAGGTCAAAGCCAGCCTCAGCAAAAGCAAGGCACCAAGCAACTCAGTGAGACCCTGTTCTAAATAAAATACAAAACAAGACTGGGGATTGTGGCTCAGTGGTTGAGTGCCTCTGAGTTCAATCCCTGGTACCCCCTGAACCCACAAAAAAAAAAAAAAAGAGAGAAAGAACTGGGATGTAGCTCAGTGATAGAGTATGTCTAGGTTCAATTCGCAGTACAAAAAAATACATGATTACCTTATAACTTCTTTCTATGCATTGGAGAGGAAAAAGGAAAGAAAAATGGGATTCATACCATTTACATGTACTCAATGCAACTGCCAACATTTGTTTGGACATACCCTTTTATGTGTGTATGTGGTGCTAGAGATAAAACTCAGGGTCTCACATAAGGCTAGCCCAGTGTTCTAGCATTAAGTCATATTTCTGAGCCTGAACATATTCTTTACATAGAAACCTTACAGCTAAGTAGATTTGGAAACAGAAAACAAGACAATGAGGCAAAGGGCCATGCTTTCAATCCTCTGACTCACCCGCAATGGTGGAGATTTGGCTCACAGGGATGGTGGCAGCCTTCTGCAAGTCCATCTTTATCTTTTTGGCCTGCCAGAAAAGAATAGTGAGTAATGAGAACGTTTTGAAGAACTGAGTAGCTACCCTCAGGATTAGGGGATGTGACACAACAGCTATATTCCTCTGTGACAGGAGGCTATGGGGAGCACCATCAGGCCATCTACACCTCCCCTACCTGACTATCCTTGCTGCTGGTCAGACCTTCAAAGGCCAACACACACTGGGCAGAAGCATCCTGCAGCTGCTGGTACCACTGCATCGTGCTGTCCTGGACCTTCATCTGGAGGTCTAAGGAATAAGACAAGATTTCACAGTGGCTGGTAGTTACTGAACATGTTACATGAGCCATGAACTGTGCTAACCACTTTCTGACATATTAACTGCTTTTTTTTTGGTGCTGGGGATTAAACCCAGGGCTGTGCATGTGAGGCAAGCACTCTACCAATTGAGCTATATCTCCAGCCCATATTAATTGCTTTAATAGCTACAATAACACTATGATGTAGATACTATTATTATTATTATCTCAATTTTTTAAAGATATCATTTTATTATTGTTGTTTATTTTTATTTTTTTATGTGGTGACAGGTATTGAACTTAGGGCCTCTTGCATGCTAGGCAGGTGCTTTACCACTGAGCTATCTCCCCAGCCCTTATTTTCTCCATTTTGTGGAAAAAGAAACAGGCAATGGAAAGGTTAAGTGATTGGCCAAGGTCACACTGCTAGTAAGTACAATTAGATCCATTGATTGGGCTCCATCCAGAGCCCATACTCTCAAACACTATACTATACTAAGCTTTGTACATATTAAGTGGACATATATCTGTATATATTTACTTAAAATACTCAGTAATAGCAATACTTGGAATAATATATTTGCCAGAATTACACAGACTTCAAATCTTTTTTTTTTTTTTAAGAGAGAGAAAGAGAGAGAATTTTTTTAATATTTATTTTTTAGTTATTGGCAGACACAACATCTTTGTTTGTATGTGGTGCTGAGGATCGAACCCAGGCTGCACGCATGCCAGGCGAGTGCGCTACCGCTTGAGCCACATCCCCAGCCCCCAGACTTCAAATCTTCATGCAAAGTGCTATGATATGAAATCAGGCTCCACATCAAACGAAACTAAATATGTTATATGTAAGTTTTGGTTAAATTTTCCCAACCTCTGGCCATACACCCTTGCTTCTTTTCACCAAGTTCTGAAACTCAGGCTGAGTTACAAGACTGTATTTACACCAAGACCCACCTTCATTCCGTGTCCCTCCTGGGCCCTGGTTGGGGACTGGGGACTGTGTGTGGGGCCCTGGCCCCTGCTGTATCTGTGAGGCTTGCAGCTTGGCCTGGGCCTCCTCCTCATCCTGCCTCTTCTTGTCTTCACAGGCTCTGGTGATCTCCTGCCCCAAGTTCCTGAGGAGGTCCCGCATTTCCTGCAGGGCTCTCTCGGCTTCAGCTTGGTTCTCTGCTGTGGGATAGCCACTCTGGTAGAGTGGAACAGACAGCATTTGGAGCTCATTCCCTAGGAAAACTTGTGGAGCTAAATCATACCTCATACAAGTCAATACATCTATAGAAGTGGAATTATTGGGCCAGTGGAATACCCAACACTCTGATACTAACTGGCTCCTTAGTTTCTTTAGACTGACCATCCCAATCCCATCCATAGTATCCAAGAATAAAGTTGGCTTTTTTTTTGGTACCAGGGATTTAACTCAGGGTCACTCAACCATTGAGCCACGTCCCCAGCCCTTTTTTATTCAGAAACAAAAAAAGGTTTTGTTTGTTTGTTTGTTTTAATTTATTTTTTAGTTGTAGTTGGACACAATACCTTTATTTCACTTATTTATTTTTTTATGTGGTGCGGAGGATCAAACTCAGGGTCCCGCATGTGCAAGGCGAGCGCTCTACTGCTGAGCCACAACCTCAGCCCAAAAGGTTTGTTTTTTGAATTACTTAGTTACTTAGGGCCTCGCTAAATTGCTGAGGCTGGCTTTGAATTCACAATGCTTCCCCCTTACCTCCCCACCTGCCAGCTGCTGGAATTACAGGTGTGCGCCACTGCACCCAGAAATAGTAATTTTTAGTAATTTTTTAAAACTATGTGATTATAGGGCTGGGGTCACAGCTCAGTGATAGAATGCTTGCCTAGCATGTGTTAGGCACTGGGTTGGAATCTCAGCACTGCATATAAATAAAATAAAGGTCCATTGACCAAAAAAACAAACAAACAAAAAACCAATATGCTAGTTTACAATGTTAGTTTTAATTTGCAACACATGTTTTAAAGGTGATTTTGAACTTACTTTTCTAATTATTGAACAATTATGTTTCTATACCCTCCCCCTCCACGAGGGCCCCCTCCAGTACTGGGGATTGAATCTATAACTCCACCACTGAGCTATATCCCCAGCCCTTTTATTTTCAACAGGTTCTTGCTAAGCCTTAGACTCCTGAGAGGTTTATATTACAGGTAAGCATCACTACATACAGCCAGTCAGAGAAATCTGAACACTGACTAGATATTTGATCATATTAAATTACTAAATTTTTACATGTGACATCAGTATTTTGCTAAAAGCAGTCTTTTTAAACTTTGGAGGTATAGATAAAGTGTGGTTGCCATGCACCGACCTCTGTTGAGCTACAGAATGGATGTGTAAAGATTCATTATGCTATCCTTTCTACTCCTGTATTGGTTTGTAATTTTACAAAATGAAAGGTAAACAAAACTCATGAAGAGAATTCAAAAGTAATAAACTATAAAACTTCTGCTTCAATATAAATAAATGCTTGAACACTTAGAACTCATATAAACTAATTTTTTTTTTGCACTGCTGGTGTTCAAGCTCAGGGCCTTAGGCATGCTACACAAGTGCTCCACCACTGAGCTAGAACCCCAGCCCTAATTGATTTTTTTATTCATCTTTGTTTTATTTTTTGTGGCCTCAAGGATGGAACCCAGCATGCTAGGCAAGCACTTTACCACTAAGCCACATCCTTTTTTTGGCGGGGGCAGCAGGGTGGGACGATACCAAGGATTGAACTCAGGGGCACTCAACCACTGAGCCACATCCCCAGCCCATTTTTATATTTTATTAGAGACAGGGTCTCACTAAGTTATTTAGTGCCTCACCTTGCTGAGGCTGGCTTTGAACTCATGATCCTCCTGTCTCAGCCTCCTGAGCTGCTGGGATTATAGGTGTGGGCCACTGCACCTGGCTAAATCCTTCTCTTTTGAACCATGGATTATACCCAGGGGCACTTAACCACTGAGCCACATCCCCAGCCTGCTTTTTCATTTTGAGTCAGGGTCTCACTGGGTTTGTTTAGGGCCTCACTAAGTTGCTAAGGTTGTCTTTGAATTTGCGATCCTCTTGCCTCAGCCTCTGGAGTTGCTGGGATTACAGGCATGCACCCTCGCACCTGGCGCTGCTTCTTTTTTTGATACCAGGGATTGAACCCAGGGGCACTCAACCCCTGAGCCACATCCCCAGCCCTCTTTTGTATTTTATTTAGAGACAGGGTCTCACTGACTTGCTTAGCACCTCACTTTTGCTGAACTGGCTTTGAACTTGCAATCCGCCTGTCTCAGCCTCCCAAGCCACTGGGATTACAGATGCGCACCACCACACAAGGCTGGCTGGTGCTGCTTTTTAAGAAAGGGTCATGCTTAGTTGCCTAGGCTGGCCTCAAACTTGGTTCTCTTGCCACTGCCTTCCTAGCAGCTGGGATTACAGGTGTGTGCCACCATACCCAGATAAGGTACTCCATTTCAAAGATAGAAAAACAGTCACTCTAAGGCTTCTTACCTCTGAAGTGGTACGAATGATCCCAGAGATGAGACTGCACAGCTGGTTGCCTCGGGTCCGGAAGGCAGCCAGGTCCACCTTCAGCCGGTCCTTGTGCTGGTCGGAGGTGTCCAGCTGCTGGTTGAGCTGCAGTACCTCCTCCTGCATGGTATAGAGGCTCCGCAGGCGAACCTGGCCTTCCTCTCTCCGCAGTCGTTCCTGCTCTGCTTGCTTCAAGCGCTGCTGCTCTGCCTCTCGCAGTTTCAGGTTGAGAATCTATAGAAAGGGTCATTGTGTCACTCTTTCTGAAGGGCTCCTGGCCTTTCTCTTTCCACACTTCTAGAGTACTAGGTGTGCTTTATATGCCTACAGATGAGCAGGAAAATGACTTCCTGAAGCCAGTAGTGCAGAGGCATGATATGGGCATGTCTTCCAGGATGATTGACAGAACTTGACCCTTCAGACAGGTTATAGACAGATAGCAACATACCTTTCCTGAATCTCCCAGGCACTGACCTTGGCTCTGTGACGATGCTCAGCTTTCAGCTTCTCCTGGTGGCCTAGGGCTTCCCTGGTACTAAATGAAATTGCAGGAAGAATAGTCAGGGATGCTTCTCAAGATGGTTCACCCTCTCCCCAAACCCAAGGTTGGTCATTTTCCAGGTTATATTCTTCTCCACTTATTTTATTTTGATATTTAAGGACTCAGAAGTTCAACTCTTTCCCCTTAGAATTCCTCTAGGGAAAGAGTTTTGGTTGAATACATGAACATCTCAGTTGTAATTCAGGGAGACTCACCTCTTCTCTATCACTTCCCTTAAATCCTGAAATTCTTTATGCTGCTTCAGTTCCTTCAGCTCATCAAACCGCTTCAGCTGTTCAGACGCCATCTCTGAGAGGGCTCGTACTTTCCTCTCCTGCTCCTCCTGCCACTGCCTTAAGCCTTCCTGAAGAGGATCAACATCTGCCCTCAGAATGTCATTACCACCTTGCTCCTTTGCCCCTGAGCTACCCTCTCCTCAGAGACTCTCCAGGGCATGGAATCATCTGCTCAGTTCACAGGACCTTTACAGGAGCCCCTTTCCTTTGGACTGACCATTAAACTAAGCAGTTTTGGAAAGCCCCCTCCAGTTTGTCCCCTATGGTTTTGGTCAACATAATATCAAACAACCATGCACTTCAAAATTTCCATCCTAAAGTGGAATCCAGTCTCATAAATGCCTTTTTAATTGTTTCCTCCAATGTGAAAGACGTGGGACAGAACTATATCACACCTCTGAATGTAAAACCTCTTGTATCTAGTTTATCATATGCATTAGTGACTGTGCTTTATCAGAGCTGCTTTTAATGTCGTTATTCTAGAAATCTTTCTTTTCATATGATAATTAAGAAGCTAATAAAAAAATGGTCCCAAGTATTACAACAGTTACAGAATTTTTTCTCAGGTTTTGCTTCTTTTTTACCAATCCCCCACCCCTTTTAATGGAGTGTGCTAGATGTTTCTACAATTTTGTTCAGATGACTAAAAAAATCTGGAAAAGCTGAGGCTGCTACTGATGCATACATACTGCTATTATTGGTCTTTTTATATAAATACATATACATATAAATATATATATATATAAAATAACATATAAACACACAACATACACAAATAATTCAAAATTTTGAAAACACTGGCTGTGCTGCCAACTTTGGAAAAAGTCTCCCAGTTTTCAATTTGAGTAAGCATTGTACAGAAATTAACAGTCATTTATGTCCAGAAATAGTAACCTTAATTTTTTTTCAATTTATACATGGGTAACCCACTGTATCAAATATGTAAGGTCTTATCTACATGGATTTGATTACAGAAACTAAAGTAATCTTTAATAGAAAGAAAAAAATTTCCATTCATAAATTTTCATGATACGAAATCCTTATTCTACTCTAAGTCTACAAACATGCGATGCTCATTCTTATCTTACTCCCTTCCTCATCTCTGCCTAAATTATCCTCCCACCCCCACTGAGGAGTCCTTTCCTTCATACCTAAGGAAAAAAACACCTAAGGGTATCAGATATTTCATTTACTACCTATTGAAAATACTCTCTCTCATATGTTTTTTTTTTTTTTGTGTGTGTGTGTGTGTGTGTTTTCTTTTTTTTTTTTTTTGTACCAGGGATTGAATCAAGGGGTACTTAACCACTGGGTCACATCCGCAGTCCTTTTTAAATTTTTTTTTTTTTAGTTGTAGATAGATACAATATCTTTATTTATTTTTATGTGGTGCTGAGGATCAAACCCAGTGTCTCATACGTGCTAGGCAAGCGTTCTACCACTGAGCTACAACCCCACCCCCCACCCCTACAAGCCCCCCCCCCTTTTTTTTTTAAATGTTTTATTTTGAGGCAGGGTCTCACCGAGTTCCTCAGAACCTTGATAAATTGCTGAAGCTGCCTTTGAACTCATGATCCTCCTGTCTCAGCCTCCCAAAATGCCGGGATTATAGGCATGTACCACCATGCCTGGCTTCTCATGTTTTGTTTTGATTTTTGGTACTGGGGATTGAACTCAGGGGCACCTGACCTCTGAGCCACATCCTCAGCCCTATTTTGTATTTTATTTAAAGACAGGGTTTCACTGAGTTGCTTAGGGCCTCACTAAATTGCTGAGGCTGGCTTTGAACTCTCAATCTTCCCGCCTCAGCCTCTGGAACTGCTGGGATTACAGGTTAAGTGTAGCACATGCCTGGCAAATTTTTATATATTTTAAAACCATTATAGTACATGTGTGTGGCTCTTGGCTGTTTTGGTCTATTGACTGGGGGTCAGGGCAAGAATTAATGCCTTTTGTCTACACACATTCAGCTCATCCCCATTATCAGCCCTTCAAACCCCACATCATCTCAAACCTGCTATTTCCAGTCTGAAGCCTCTTTGCTTTCCAAAGGCAGAGTCTATTTATGTGCATTTGTGTGTGTCTGTGTGTATGTATCCTGGGATTTGTCTATCTTTGCTTTATCATTTACCATTCCTCTACTGACATTCTGTCTTCCAGAAGAACATAAAAAGTATTTCCCTGCTAATGATCTCTCTCACATAGACTCTGTTGTGTCTTCTTCCCAGCTTTCATTTTAGTAGTCGCAAAGGAAATGTTAGGCTAGGTGCAGTGGTGCATGCCTGTAATCCCAGTGGCTCAGGAGACTGAGGCAGGAGGATCTAGAGTTCAATGCCAGCCTCAGCAAAAGTGAGGCACTAAGCAACTCAGTGCTTAGTGAGACCCTGTCTCTAAATAAAACACAAAATAGGGCTGGAGATGTGGCTCAGTGGTCGAGTGTCCCTGAGTTCAATCCCTGGTACCAAAAAAAATAAAATTAAAAAAATCTGAAAATTCTTTTTTTTGGTGATGGAGCTGGGGCTGAGGCTGGAACTCTAGGCAACTACTCTACCACTGAGCTACACCCAACTTGCAGATTTTTTGACACTCCTTCCTCCCACCCTCTCCACTTCAAGATGAATAGGACTTCACTACAACTGGTGAAGGAGACATGCCCCCCAAAATGAGAACTTCTCAGTCAATGTCTGAAGGGCCATACAGCTCTGCCTGTTTTGTAGGATGCCTGCTCTTGAATCATGGCCACCTTTCCATGAGGAAGCCCAGGTCATGTGGACAGGACAGCTGTTCAAACTTCAACTGCCAGACAGGTACAGCTCTGAGATGACTCTAGCCTCAGCCGCTGCAACCACAACAAACTCCGAATGAGAATCTCCTAGCCGAGCCTACTCGACCCACAGACACACAACAGTAACAAATGCCAGCTGTTTCAAGCCACCAGGTTTGGGATATTACATAGTGACGTATACTTCAGGCAAGAAATGGAGAATTCTTCTCTGAAAGAAAAGGAAAAGGAAAAAGGAATTGAAGGAGGGAAATAGGAAGAAAAAGGGAGAAGGAAGAAAGGAAAAAGGGAAGGAAGGGCTTGATCCCTAGCACTGCAGAGAAAGAAAGGAGGAAAGGGTAGAAGAAAGGAAGGGGGAAGAGAGAGAGAGACAGACAGACAGATGGACAGCAAGCAAGAAGGCTCAACCTCCAAACAATGGAAGGATAGGAGGGGGAAAAGAAGGGAAAGAGAAAGGGGAGGAGCTGGGTAATTGTGGCACACACCTACAGCTACTCAGGAGGCTAAGGCAGCCTGGCAACTGCAAGACTCTCTCTCGATTTTGATTTTTGCCATCCAGGATGGAGTTGGGACCCAGGGCCTTGTACACTCAAGAAAATTGATCTATACATTCCCAGCACTGACCCTATCTCAAAATAAGATAAAAAGGGATGAGGATGCAGCACAATAGCAAAGCACCTGCCTAGCATGTGAAGCCCTGGCTTCAATCTCCAACACCAAACAAAACCAAAAAAAACAAACCTTAATTAGCTTTATTTTCAATTATAGAATTGAGCATTATTTCATCCTATACAATAGAATAAGTGTTTCCAAAAGTCAAATAAATCAATTAAAATCGTGCCATTCTTTCTTCAGAGGCTGTTAGATCCCACTTTCATAGTTTAGTCATACCTGACAACCCTGGACCATTTCCAAATTAGAGAAAAGTAAACAGAGGCCAGGAAACACCTTCATATTTTCCCCAAAGTTACATGTAAAATACAAAAGCCAGTGAAACCAGTGTGTGTGTGTGTGTGTGTGTGTGTGTATGCTGTAGATGGACACAATATCTTTATTTATTTATTTTTATGTGGTGCTGAGGATTGAACCCAGTGCCTCATATGTGCTAAGCAAGCGCTCTACCACTGAGACAGCCCCTAGTGGTCTCTTAACCTCTACATTATACTACCTCCCCAAATAAGCTTCTGTGTGTAGGACACCATGATGAGCATACAGTGGACATTCCTTTATCTCCCCCAGTACTGGTGTATCAAACCTGGGGTGCTCTACCACTGAGCCACATCTCCAGCCTTTTTTATTTAGTTTGTTTTTATTTTGAGATAGAGTCTCATTAAGTTGCTGAAGCTGGCCTCAAACTTGTGATCCTCCTGCCTTAGCCTCTTGAGTTGCTGTCCAGTGGGCATTTCTAAACCCTGGAGAATGAAGTTGAATGCACCTCTCTAGTAAGTGGATCAGGCATGCCTTACTTCATGGGTTCACTTACTGTTCCTTTCATTCTGTGGACCAGTTCATACATTCGGATGCAGCCTTCCACTCTAATTCCACGAGAGGACTGAAGTGCCATAGATTCTGTATGTTGAGACTCCTGTTTGCTCTACACAGGAAGAAGGGGAAAAAGAACTCAGTTTTTAACCTTGTAAAGTTGGCGTTATCTCTTCTAGGTCTACAGATCACATCCAAATTTATAAAATTTATAACAATAAAAACACAATTTAGATTAGAAACAGTATGCTTTTCATAACATTGACATTGTTCTGTTTTTTGTTTTTGTTTTAATAAACTGATGTTTGTAAAAATGGGAGTTCATAACCCACTTGAATCAAAGTGTGAAATATGATATATCAAGAACTATGTAATGTTTTGAACAACCAACAATAAAAATTTAAAAAATAAATAAATTAAAAAAAATAAAATTATACAGAAAATTTTAAAAAATAAAATAAAATAAACTGATGTTTGTTGCTTTGGGTAGATTTTTGTTTTATTTTGATTTAGCCTACTAGCTTGTGTGTTCAGCAAAACTTCCCCCTTTCTTCTGATAAGTATCCATTTGTCCTGGGGTGGTTTGGATGGAGCAACCCCAGCTACTCCTCCAAACTTTAAGGTGCCTCAGGAGAAGGCACCTGACAAGACTGACAATCAACATGCTCTCTCCTCCTGTATTGTATATCCATCTGAGAATAGGGTATATGACCCAAGCTAGGCCAGAGCCTATCTTTTTTTTTTTTTTTTTTGGTACCAGGGATCAAACCCAGGAGTGTTTAACCACTAAGCCACATCCCTCTCCCTTTTCTTGTATTTTGTTTAGAGACAGGATCTTGCAGAGTTGCTTAGGGTCTCTCTAAGTTGCTAAAGCTGGCTTTGAACTTGCAATCCTCCTGGCTCAAGACTCCTAAACCACTGGGATTATAGGTATACTCCATCACACCCAGTCAGAGCCTATCTTTGACCTTTTCTGATGGAGCCAACCAGGAAGGCTCTCTGTCAGGAACGCTAACCTAAGATGTAAGTCTGGGGTTCCCATTAGCCAATATGCCAGACAGTGTCTATCTGAAAAACAAAACCAAGAAGAATGAGACAAAAAGGAAAGACGGAAAGGCAAAACCCTGTTTATGGGTCATTGATTCAAAAAATAATAATAAGCAGAGAAAGAACAATGGTAATCATCTAGATCTAATTCCAGATGTTCTCCTGGACTTCCTGAACTAATTATTTCCTCTCCATCCTTTGTTTTACTTTAACTGGTTAAACTGGGTTTCTTTTCAACACCAAAAATTCCTAAATGATATAAACCACAGAAAGCTGAAGAGCTATGTACAGGAAGGTCCCATGTACTTTTGATCCAGTTTCCCCCAATAGCACCATCTTTCATAAATACAATAAAACATTAAAAGGAGTAAGAGATTGGCAGTGGTACAATCCACCAAGCTTATTCAGATTCTATCAGTTTCACAGGCACTCATTGTACTTGTGTACAGTTTTTATGCAATCTCTCACGTGTTGATTCGTGTAAACACTTCCACACTCAAGATACAGGGGCTAGGAGTGTAGTTCAGCAATAAATATTTGCCTAGTATACACAAGGCCCTGGGGTTAATCCCTAGCATTGAAAAAAAGAAAAATACAGAACTCTCTCCCCTCACCAAAAAGCTACTTCATACCACACTTACATTTGTAGCCATGTCATTTCCTCCTCCATCCCTAAACCCTATTCTGTTCTCCAAGCTGATACTTTTGTTGGTTAGAGAATGTTAAATAAACCGGGCTGGGTGGCACATACCTGTAATCTGAGGCAAGGGTATCACAAGCTCAAGGCCAGCCTTGGCAATTTAGCTAGACTCTGACTCAAAATAAAAAATAAAAATGGCTAGGGATGTAGCTAAATGGTACAGTAATCCTTGGGCTCAATCCCCAGTACCACACACACACACACACACAAAGAATATTAAACAAGGTTGGGTGTGGTGGCACCTGCCTATGATCCCAGCTACTTGGAGGCTGAGGCAAAAGAATTACAAATTTGTTTCATTCGGTACTGGGGATTAAACCCAAGGGTGCTTTACCACTGAGCTCCATTCCTGGTTCTTTTTATTTTGAGATAGGATATCACTAAGTTTCTGAGGCTGGCCTCAAATTGTGATCCTCCTGCTTCCACCTCCAGAATGGCTAGGATTACAGGGGTGTGCCACCAAGCCCTGGTTTAATTCACAGTACTGTGAAAAAGAAGAATGCAAGAATGTTAAACAAAAGAAATTATATAGTATATTAACTTTTTTTGGGTACTGGGGATTGAACTCTACACAACTGAGCTATATCCCCAGCCCCTGTAAGTCAGCACTTTATTTTGGCTCAGAGGTTTCTGCCCATAGTCACCTGGTTGCATTGTTTTCAGGTCTATGGTGAGGCATAGAGGGTGTGATGGAGGCAAAGGCGCTCACCTCACAGTGGCCAGAAAGCAAAGAGAAAAAGAGAAGAAGGGACCAGGATCAAGAAATGACCTTTATGTATGTGCTCCCAGTGACCAATTTCCTACAACTAGGCCCTACCTCCTACAAATTCCCCCATCTCCCAATAAAGTCATCAACTATGAACCCATCAAGGGATTAATCTACTGATGAGGTCAGGGCCCACATGATCAAGTCACTTCCTAGGAACCCGACCTCTGAACATTGATGCACTAAGGAACAAGCCCTCAAAGCACGAGTCTTGGCTGGGTGTAGTAGCACACACCTGTAATCCCAGCGGCTTGGGAGGCTGAGAAAGGAGGATCGCAAGTTTAAAGCCAGCCTCAGCAACAGTGAGGCACTAAGCAACTTAGTGAGACTCTGTCTCTAAATAAAATACAAAATAGGCTGCGGATGTGGCTCACTGGTTGAGTGCCACGATTTTAATCCCTAGTACCAAAAAAAAAAAAAAAAAAAGGTTCTTTCTTGGGGTATAGAACCATTCTGTATTTCCACCCAAAATATATGTGAGATCCAGACTTTCTATGTCCTCACCAGCAATTCAGTGCTCTCACTATTTTTCTTTCTTTCTTTTTTTTAATATTTATTTTTTAGTTTTAGGTGGACATAATATCTTTATTTTATTTTTATGTGGTGCTGAGGATCGAACCCAGTGCCTCATGCATGCTAGGCAAGCACTCTACCACTGAGCCACAATCCCAGCCCCTCAATATTTTTCATTTTAACTGTTCTTATAGATGTGCAATATTATCTCATTGTAGTTTTAATTTACATTTTCTTAGTAGCTAATAACGTTAAAAACATTTTCACATGCATATTTGCCATCTATATACTGTCTTAGGTAATGTCTGGTCATATCCCTTGCCTATATTTTTTTATTTATTTAAAGAGATCTTTATATAGTCTAGACAGAAAAACTTCATCAGACAGGTAGTTTGCAACTGTTTTCTTCCAGTATGTACTCTCTTCACATGGTCTTTCAGAGAACAAAATTTGTCATTTTAATGAAGTCCAATTTGTCAATTTTCCTTTTATGAATTATACTTTATAGTTTTATTTCTAAAAAGTTTAGAGTTTTACCTTTAAGTCAGTGATCATTTTGAGTTAATATCTATATAAGATAAAAGGTTTAGGTGAAGGTTGATTTTTTTGTGTATGATGTTCAGTTGCTAAAAATACATATATTTGGTAGAAGGGGATTGAACCCAGGAGCATTTAGCCACTGAGCCCACAACCACAGCTCCCCTCTTTTTTTTTTTTAAGACAGGGCTTTATAAGTTTCTTAGGGCCTCACTAAGTTAATGAGGCTGGCTTTAAATCTGTAATCCTTCTGCCTCAGTCTCCTGAGCTGCTGGGATTACAGGTATGTGCTACCACACCCAGCCTGCTAGAAATATTTTTAAAAGAACCTGGCATGGTGGTACATGCCTGTAATCTAGCTACCCAGGTGGCTGAGGCAGGATGATTCCAAGTCTGAGGTCAGCCTAGGCAACTTAGCAAGACCTTATCTCAAAATAAAAGATAAAGGGCTAGGGGTGTAGCTCAGTGGTAGGATGCCCATGGATTCAATCCCTAGCACCACAAAAAAGGAAAGAAATAAATATTTTAAAAGACTAATATTTTTTTAAAATGTTTTATTAGTTATTGTTGGACCTTTATTTATATATTTGTTTATATGTGATGCTGAGAATCGAACCTAGTGCCTCACACATGGTAGGCAAGTGCTCTACCACTGAGCCACAATCCCAGCCCTAAAAGACTAATATTTTTAAAATGAAGAACTAGATACAAACTAAAACCATAAACTTTCTATGTAGAAGAGCCATGTGGTTCTTATATACTCCAACTTTGCCATTACTATGTGTTCTGTCTTCAACTAATCACATTTTACCTGGGCTCCATTTGGTGTTTCAGGCAATGCTGGTGAGAGGGCAGAGCTTCCAACTGGAGATCTGGGGACTACTGAGGGTTGGTCTAGGGCAGAAGCAGATCCAGATGAAAGTGAAGTCTCTGATGAGGGAACGGGGTTCTCTTGTTTGTATGGTAGGATATGATCTACCACCCATCCAGAAAAAGGGGACAGCTTGGGAAGAGACACACATTCTTCTAAAGCATCCTAGAAAGAAGAAGCCCAAGTTAAACACAACTTGCATGTCCACTGATCAAGCATAATCCACTACATGCCTTACTGAACACTAGGGACCAAATAAATAAATACCAAAGATTCGAAGTAACTGCATTAACAATCAGGGATAAAAAGTATAGTTCCTTGGTAATGACCCCAACATCTGTTCTTCTAAAGAAAATATGACTATAACAATTTTAACTGCATGAAAAGGCACACTGTGCGAATATTGCCATTAAACTAATCTAAACCAGGCACAGTGGAATACACCTGTAATCCCAGAGGCTTAGGAGGCTGAGACAGGATTGCAAGTTCAAAACCAGCCTCAGCAAAAGTAAGGCATTAAGCAACTCGGCAAGACCCTGTCTCTAATAAAATACAAAACAGGGCTGGGGATGTGGCTCAGTGGTCGAGTGCCCCTGAGTTCAACCCCAGTATACCCCGCCCTAAAAAAAACTAATCTAAAACACTGGAAAAGAATAGAACATGAGAGGAATTTTGAAGTAAATTGTCATAAACATTATGATTACAGTGGAGTATTAGTCACATTAAAATACTGGTTGAGGGGCTGGGGTTATGGCTCAGTGGTAGATTGCTCGCCTCACACATGCAAGGCCCTTGGTTCCATCCTCAGCACCACATAAAAACAAATAAATAAATATATTGTGTCCAACTACAAAAAATAAATATTTTTTAAAAAATACTGGTTGAGCCAGGTGTGGTGGCACACATCTAACACCAGTGACTGTGGGGGGGGAGGGATGAGGCAGGAGGATCCCAAGTTCAAAGCCAGCTTCAGCAAGTTAGCAAGGCCCTTAGCAAGACTCTATCTCAAAATAAAACATAAAAAGGGCTGGGGATGGACTGGGGTTGTGGCTCAGTGGCAGAGCACTTGACTAAGCATGCTTGAGGCACTGGGTTCGATCCCTGGCACCACATAAAAATAAATAAAATAAAGGCATTGTGTCCATCTACAACTAATAAAAAAGAAAGAAAGGGCTGGGGATCTGGTTCAGTGGTTAAGTGCCCCTGAGTTCAATTCCTGGTACTAAAATAAAACAAAATACTGTTGAGCTGGGCATGGTGGCACACATCTGTAAACTCAGGAGGCTGAGAAGGAGACTCTCAAGTTTGAGGCCAGACTCAGCAACTTTGCAAAACCCTATCTCAAAATCAGAAGGACTGGGAGTGGTATAGCCCCCCGGGGTTCAATCCCAAGTAAAGTGGTTGAGAAATACTAATCTAGATAATAGGTTCACATCACATGTACAACAAACAGGCATTCAACCCCTGATGGACAATCTGGGCAAAAAGCCAACACGCTGATACATACTCTATAATAACAAGGTCAATATTAAAAACATATTACGGAGATAATACCTTTTACTCATTCTTTATACCAAAATAAATTACAGGAGCAAATATTTTTAAAAACCACCATAAAGAAAAATTTCAACAAATGAACTAGGATAATTTATATAGGACTACTATTCTCTAATACATAAAGAATTTGTATGGGCTGGGGATATAGCTCAGTTGGTAGAGTGCTTGCCTCACATGCACATGGCCCTGGGTTCAATCCCCAGCACCACCAAAAAAAAAAAAAAAAAAATTCAAGGCCAGCATTGGCAAGTTAGCAAGATTCTGCCTCAAAATAAATAAATAAAAAATAAAAGGGGTAGGGATGTAGCTCAGTGGTAGAATGCTTGCTTAGCATGTGTGAGATCCTGGGTTCCATCTATAGTACCACCATAAAAATTTAAAAAAGTAAAGCTCTTTGGAGAAACTGCTGAGTCCAGGAACAGGGAAAATACAATTTAAACCTGGGACACTTTATTGTGCCAAAAGAAATGAAAACACATCAAAGGAACCCAAGAGTTGACAAAGAGGCTCCTGGGTCTTATGTCTCAATTCTAGAGCACTTGCCTAACCTGTAGTTCAATTCAACTGGGCTCAATCCCAAGGGATTTTGGGAGGGAGGCTTCCATTGGACAAATCTGAGACATTTAAAACAAAATAAGTAAATGAATAATGATAGTAATAGATATCTCATTGAATAAAACAGGAACCCATGAGTCCATATTGAAATAAATAATCAGAGGAGAAAAGAAAGCTCTTCTTTACAATAAAATGCCAACCAAAAAACAGAGGGAGCAGGGAAGATACAAAAACACCATTTGGCAACATCAGAGAGGTGACTGATTCAGGCGGAAAACATGTATTAATTCTCAGGTTGAGGAGAAAAGGTTTAATGAGGAAAAGACATATTGGAAATCTCTGGAAAACCTCCCTGCAAAATAATAATCAACTATGAAAGTGAAAAGGAATTAGGTGGAGAGACTCAGCAGATACCAACATGAACAGGTGGATCAAGGTGAGCATCATCAGTGTGTTAAGGTGGGTTGACATCTGTGGGTGTCTTCACCTGACATTATTGAGAATATAGCGTCATTTCTGTGGCATTCCCGCTAAGAATGCACAACCTGAGTCTGGTGGTTTGAAAATACCAGACTAGGAATCAACCTTACAATGTAAGGTCTACATTCTTTGAAACTGCCCAAGACATCTGTAGATAGGTTATCTGCAACCAGTGAATAGGAGTCGGCTTTAACTGTCTCCACCTCCCCCCACCTCTAGTACAGGACTTTGCGAATACTAGGTTCAGTGACCACGCCCGCCCCCACTAACAGATTCGCCTAATGACATCTAAACATTTGGTCGTTTCACTGGCAGCAACAGTGAATCAGTGACCATGTGATTCACTCTCCGCTACTCCCGGAGATCCCAGCATGTGGGAAAATTAACAGAGCCGGAGAAGCCAGGGTTGCTTTGACAACAGGAGGAGGTACCTAACTCCGGCTGGGATGGCGATGAAGCCTCAGACGGAAGAGTACCTCTGAAGTAAGGCAGCCCCTCGAGAATCTAGAATAGGAGGGAGGGACACGCTCACACAGCAGTAAAGAAATGCACGCAGGATGCTAGAACGCACGGGTTTCCCAGCGCTGGGCGTCCCAGGGCGGGGAAAGAGCAGGGCCCCGTCGCCGGCGTTGACAGGGCCTACTCCTCTTCGCGGCCGCCGCTCACCTCGCCCCGCAGCAACCAGTCGCGATGGTAGCAGAGACGACCTTTGCTGGAATTGCGCAGTGCCTGCAGGGTCTCCCAGCAGCGACCCTCGGACGGCATGGCCAGTCCGGCGGCACCTTCTGAGGCGCCTCTGGTGTCAAAACAAGCCCTCGAATCAGCCGCCGGGAAAGGGCGCCTGCTTCCGCTTCCGGGGCGCGCACGCAGCGCTGCGCAGGGAGCGTAGCCCCGTTCCTAACGGTCCAAGCCACGCCTCCGGGCGCGAATGCAGGTTAAGCTGCAGAGGGTCCTTGTGCAGAGCGAAGTGAGCCTTTGCAGAAAATCCTGCGCCCTTAGCAAGGATTTGGAGAAACTGGAACCTTTTCACACTGCTCGTGGGAATGTAAACTTGAGTCGTTCCTCAAATGGCTAAGTAGAGTTAACATTTCTCCCGCGTATAAAGCAGAGAAATGAACACACCCACAGGAAAACTTTATATAAATGTTCATAGCAGCCGTAGTCATAATGCAAGCAACCCAAATATCCAGTTAGTGACTGGATAAATGTTATATGTATATCCATGCAATGAAATTATTCTAAAGAAAAAAAAAAAGGTCTGATACAACAACACAAACCTTTAAAGCATTTTGCCAAGAAGCTAGTCAGGAAAGGCCTCGTGATTCCATTTATGCGAAATGTCCATAATAGGCAAATCCATGGAAGAGACTTTATTAGTAGTTGCCAGGGGCAGGAAAGGTGCAGGGAACAGGGTAGTGACTGCTAATGGGCATGGGTTTCTTCTTGGGGTGGTGAAGATGGCTCAGAATTAGATAATGGTGATGGTGGCACACCTTGGTAAATATGCTAAAAAACACTAAAATTATGTTTTTGGAAACTAGATTGAGACCAGAGGCACTCTACCACGTGGCTACATCTCTATTCGTTTTTACTTTTTTGAGACAGAAATCTCACCAATTAGTCTAGGTGGCTTCCAACTTGTGATCCTCCTGCCTCAGCCTCCTGAGTAATTGGAATTCAGACATGCACAACCTCACTTGGTAAACCATTTTTATTTTCTGGTTTTTTTTTTTTTTTTTTTTTTACAAACTCCCTGGACTTTTTCTAATATTTTACAAAAAATAATTGTTGGGAGAGTCCTCCAGGAGTGTACCCTTCAAAAAAGACCCTTCCCTCACCAGTTAAACAGCTTGGCTTTGCACTCCTAAGAAATAGAAAGTCTGGTGGTCTATTTTCAGAACATAGTATTTAGGCTTAAGTGTAAAAGTGGGATATTAAGATTCAATCAGAGCTAGTTTGAGATTCCCAACCTGTATCCAGTCTAGCCATTTTAACTGTAGCCCTTCCCTTTGCCCTCCTCAGAGCCAATCACATAGATGGTAACCCTGAACTCCTTCTATCAGAGCAAGCGCAGTGCCGATATGGATAAAAGCAGACAGACTACCTGCCTACACACGCTTGCTTGCCAGACTGTTCACTGTTCTGAAGCACATCCTTCTGCAGAAGTTTGCCTTGCTGAGTAACTTCAGCACAGGCCTGATTTCTTGCAGCATCTGGACATTTTTAACACTGCACTGAGGATGTTTTCAGTAGTTTGGCAAAATTGAGAAGTTATACAGATATTTGTGCACATTTGCTTAAGTTTGCAGACTGTCCTTTCTTGGAAAGGACTCATAAGTTCAAATCCATTTACATAAAGGGTAAGAAAATAGGCTCAGTTTTGTGGCAATGGATGCTGTAGTTTTTTTTAAATGAACTTCCTTTGAACAACTGAAAGTTGGAAAGGACAAATGTCCACTCACCAATAAATGGTGATGAGTTTTCTGGTCTTTGAAATCCATATGCTGTGGGTCTGGGTGTGGAGGGGATTGTCTTTGTGGACAAAGAAACCTCTAGAGTTGTGGATGTGGGTTAGAATGGCTGAAATGACAAAACCCAAGACCAGAAGGCCATCACCGGCTAGAAGAAAGGCTAGGGTTTACTACAGTGTCAATTTGTTCTCTTTGAAGAATTTGTTCTTGCCAGGCATGGTGGTGTACACCTGGTATTCCAAGCAACTTTGGAGGCTGAGGTAGGAGGATTTCAAGTTCAAGGCCAGCCTCAGCAACTTAGCAAGGCCCTAAGTCTCAAAATTTTTTTAAAAAAAAGGGAGGGGACAGGAGTTGTGGCTCAGTGGTAGAGTGTTCACCTAGCATATGGAAGGCACTGGGTTCATCCTCAATAGCACATACCAAAAATAAAGATATTTTGTCCACCTACAACTAAAAAAGTATTTAAAAAATAAATGTAAAAAGGGCTGGGGAAGTGGCTCAGTGGTAAAGCACCCCTGGATTCAATCCTAGCATAAAAATTTGGAAAAAAAAAAGTGTTCTTTATTTCTTAAAATTTGTTTTTTGTTTTTGTGGTGATGAGGATCCAACCCAAGCCCTTACACATGGTAGGCAAGCACTCTACCACTGAGTTACACCCTGGCTATTCTTTTAAATGCAGGAAAATGTGAATAAAAATGGTTCATGATCTTATAATTCAGAAACCAATTCATATTTTATTCTTTTTAACCAAGTCATGTTTTATAAGCACATCCCATCCCCTTCCTAAAGTGATCTGCCTAAAACATTGAGCAATGCCTTACAAAGTTCATTCCTCTGGACATCTCTCACGTTGTCAAGTGAAAGCACATGAAGGAGAAAGAACCAAGCTGGGCTGAAGTGAAAAGCCTGGTGCTTCATGCACAAAGTACTTTGAAATCATTTACTCACTCTCTCTCCCGTATTTACTAGTTTTTCTTTTTTTTTTTTTTTAAAGGGGGTGGGAGTGGGTAGTACAGGAAATAATCCAAAGGAATTTAAATAATTATAAAAACTTTCTATAAAATGACACAAATATTTCAAGAATAAATGCATTCCAGAGATACAAAAAGAAAAAAAGCCCAATGTGATTGGGATTATGCTTGTAAAAGGACAGATGGAAATGAGCCTCTATGAGGATCTACTGTGAAATACTTGGAGGCAAGTGGTTCAAGGAAATTCAAGCATGGGGAAACACTGCACCCTACCATACCCATAAGAAAAAAAGCAAGTGAAGATGCTCACAACCTAGGAGCGGCTCCTGCTAGTTCAGATCAGAGAAAACCCAGGGCAGAGATTCCTAAAAAGACAAGGGCTGGACAGGGACTGGAGGAAAAAGTCCAATCCAAATGTTCACTTAGGAAAGAAGAATCTTGGCAAAGTCAAAGTGAGTAAAAATCTGGTACCCCAGTGCAGTAGTAAATGTAAGGCCTGTCAAGGAGAAATTCCCATAAGGCAACTGAGGGAGGAGAAAACCAAGAGCTTCCCACTTCCTCCTGTGCTGTTTTAGGGGCTCTTCTGGAGTTGGTAGCTAAGGACACGACCCTAAACATACTTCATCACTGCGAGAGAGGAAAACCAACAGGCTTTCCAGCTATGGCTTGGCAATACCTCAGTTGCCAGGGCACTAGGCAGGGCTCCAGGCCCTAGATAGCTGGCCTCAGGGAGGGGGAGACCGGGAGCGGATGGGAGAGCTTGTCAAATAGGAGGTATAGGGACTATCTCCAAACACGTTGGCATATGAGGATTTTAGGAACTGGACATAGTTCTGCATGCTGCGGTTAGTACTCTCGGACTGCTCCAGGCGATCTTTAAGGTCCTGCAGCCGGCTCTGGTAGCGTCGATCAGCCTAAGAGAAGAAGCCAAGCATGGGCAGAGTACGTGAGTCATCTGAAACAGGCAAATTGGACACACAGGGACTTTTTTAGAGGGTGCCAGGGACTGGAGGAGATGGAAGAGATTGCTAAAGGGTAGGGGGTTTCTTTTGTTTTGTTTTGTTTTGTTTTTTTAAGAGACAAGACCTGAAACAACTGGACTCAAAAAGAGATCCTCCTGCCTTGGCCTCCTGAGTCCCTGAGACTATAAACATGTGCCACCACATGAGCATTTAAAAAAAAAAACACAAAACATTCTAAACTTAGCCAGGAATGGTGAGAGGCACACTATAATCCCAGAGACTCAGGAAGCTGAGGCAGAAGGATTGCAACTTTGAGGCCAGCCTCAGCAACTTAGTGAGGCCCAAAGCAATTTGGCAAGACCCTGTCTCTAAATAAAAAATAATAAAAAGAATTGGGGGTGTGGTTCAGTGGTTAAGCACCCCTGGGTTCAATCCCAGGCAACCCTCCTGCAAAAAAAAACCCCAAACATTCTAAACTTAGATTGTGCTGCTTAATTGTTCAAGTTTGTATTATTTTGAAACTTATTGAATTCTACAGTTTGAGTGAATTTTATGGGATACAAATACCTTGTAAAAACTGTTTTTAAGAAGGCAGATCTGCCAAGGATACCCTTAAGAGATGGGGGAAAAAAACAACCCAGAAAACAATGAAACTGTATGAAGTTCATAAAAACAGTATGAAGTTCATAAAAACAGTTTCATCAGAACACCTTCCCCTGCAGGCCCCAGAAAGCTAAAATCTCAGTCTTCTGGCCCATTCCCCCTGCCCATTCCCCCAGTCCAACTCACATCATCACGGGTCCGCCGCAGCTGGCTGAGTTCAGTTTTGGTCCTGCTCAGCTGGGTCTCAAGGTCCAAGATTTTGTTCTGGGCTGCTCGCTCCTTGGAGAGTGCCTGCTCCTTGGTTTGTTCCACCTGCACAGAAGACAGAGAGGTGGGGCTGGCTAACCTGACACAGGTAACACGGGCAAAGACAAGTGCAGTGGCCCTCCTGGATCTCTCACAACCTGGTTCCAGACAGCACTTGATGTGGGTATGGAAAGCCTTCTACTGGAGCTTCAGGGTAGGATAACCATGGGGTCTGCTCCTGCAACCCAGCTATACTGCTCGCCCTTGCCCAGCGCCCCATGAGTCATCACCTGAGATGTAGCAGAACTGCCTAAGTCCCAAGAGGGCAGAAAGTAAATAGCAATCATGTATAGAAAGTGCTGAACCCTCTACAATAAATACTCATCCAACAAATTAATGAGGCAGGAACTACTATATTTCTTCAGATGAGGGAATAGGCATAGAAAGGCTAGGTGATTTGCCCAAGATAACAGAATGTTGTGAATGGAATTGAGACTGACCTGCCTCCTGGCATCTTCAAGGGCACTCTCCAGCTGCCTTGCCAGTGACCCACATTCCCGGGTTTTCTCCTCCAGCCGCAGCTGGGACTGGTGGATGGCTTCCTCCCTCTTGGCAATCACCTGGAGGAACTCGACATTCTGGGCATTGGTCGCCTCCAGTTTCCTATGTGAAAGGACTCAATCAGATCCTGTGCTAATCCACCTGTATGTTCCACCCAGCCAGGGGGGCGCCATCACCCCTGGACTGGGGGTCTCATCACGCCAAAAATCTCCAAGGAGCCATGGGAAGAAACCAAAAGAAATCTGCAGGTTAGCAGGGTGGCCACTGCGCTGTGTGACTGGAACAGCTATTAGAGAACAGTATGAAGAGTGCAAGAACAAGTCCACACCAGGCATGCGCCATACTCGTGCACGTTATCAAATGGAGTACAGCAACCTGCAGCTCACCAAGGGCCTGCCATTATCATCACCACTGCAGAGATGAAGGAACTGAGGCTCAGAGAGGGGAAATCACTGGCTGAAGGGCAGCTCAGCAGGCAGGACTATCACCAAAATCTGTGCCTTTAACTTCTGCTATTCACTGCTGTCTCCCTCAGCAAAGGGACTTTGGTTGACCACTCGGCATCTCATGGGACAGCCATAGGGCAGTCATGGCCATCCGTGGGTTCACATTCTATCCCCACTGCCCTTTCAGGTGCCTTCCAATTTAAGGAGTGCTGCAAGTCCTGATGGAGTTGGCTGCATTTTCCAGGCCAACAGGGCGGAACAGAGGTGAAGTGTAGAAGGTCCTGCTCTCCATTTATAGATGCTAATGCAGACCTGGAGGCAGCCAGTGACAGGTCTAAGTCACAGCTTTAGCAGGTACCAGTCACAGCCTCTCCTCAGCCCAGTTTCCTCATATTTAAAACTGGAATACCAGCTAACAAATATATATTAACCTATAATGAACATCTTTCTATGCCAGGTAATGCGCTTAAGCTTTCTGTGAGAATCCTCTCAACGAAGACTCCAAATAACTCTATCAGGTAGATTACCATCCCTACCTTCACCTTTCCTCAATTTGAGGAAACTAAGGTTCAAAGCAGTTAAATGATTTATTCAAGCTCACAATGCAATTACATAACAGAACTGGGACTCAAGGTCAGGGCTTGATTCTGAAAGGAGCATGCCTCACATCTGCCTCCAATAGTCCATAAATAACAGAGAAAAGTCATATCAGAGTGGTCATGAGGAAGAGGATCGGAAACACAGGGAAGAGAGAGAGAGGAAGTGCCCACCCTCCTGCTGCAGTGTCCTGGCTGCTCTTTTCTAATTGGCCCTGCCAATTTGCTTGGATGGAGCCTTCCTCTGTGTGTATAAATGTGTGTGTGTGTGTGTGTTTTGCTATGGATAAAACCCAAGGGCCTCATGCATGCCAGGCAAGAGCTCTATCACTGAGCCACATCCCTAGCCCTTGAGCTGCCTCTGGAATAGATGTACCTTCAGGTGGGCTGACCTTGGTCACACCATCAGATAGCATCCCTCCAGGCTGAGACCCCCTTCCTCTCTCCCAACGAGGCTTACCACTGGAATAGAAGCTTCTCCTCTGAGGTCTGCCTAGCACCTTCCAGGGCCTTGAGTCCCTCAAATACTTCCGCACACTAAGCACAAATCAGCTAAGTGGCCGAAAGTCTCAGGTCCTAGGAAGAGATGGGACCAAGTGCCTCTAACCTCTCCAGTTCATCCACCTTCAGACTCAGCTGTTTATTTTCCTTCTGGGAAGCCTGATGTTTCTCTCTCGACATCTCCAGCTTGTCCCCCTGGTGTTCGATCTACAATGACAGGAACACAGACTGGTTTATGAAAGAATTTTCTCTTCTCCTGTGACCTGTCATCCACACCCAGGAAAGAGGCACACTGCCCTCAGCAGCTGTCCAAGTCTCAACACACAACCTGGAAGAGAAAGGAGAGCGGGGACAGGTCAGGCCCCACTCCAAACCGGGAGAAGCCAGGTTGGATGCTGAAGAACCACCAGGATGATGCTTTCTTGATCAGGAGAGGCCACTTGGAGGCCCAGCTGTGATTGGGAAGACATGAGAAGGCAGAAGCAGATGGTATCCCATACAATGGACCATGTGGTTTTACCAATTATGTTACCAGTTTTCCCTAACTGGGGACAAATGCAAGCAAGGCAATCAAAGAGCTGTCCATTCTTCCAGGCTGGCAAATTTAAAGTTACCCAGGGGTTGCTTTAGGCAAAAGCCGCATATCATCAGGGCTCAAAAGGCTGAGCGTGCTCAGGGTTAACTGAGAAAATTTTAAGTTGAGAGTCTGCAGACATGGGCTTGGGAACCAGGTAGATCTATTGGTACCAAGTTGCTGTATGATGTTATAATTACTTCTCCCCTCTAGGCCTTGGGCTACTTTCTGTAAATGAGGAAATAATACATTCCCTAGGGAAAGAAATCAGAGAATAGTATAGAGCAGGTGCTCAAACAATAGCTCCCTTCATGACTACTCCAAGGAAACAGGTTGAGAGAGGGGAAGGGTCCTGCCCAAGGTCACACCGAAAATGAGTGGCTTATGAGTTCTTAGACACTGCAGGCAGTAGGCATGGTTCCAGTAACCCAGAGGCAGACTGATTCTGGAGCAAGGAACTGCTTGCTTCTGTCTCTCAGGACAGAATCTCAGTGCATCTGTGAAGAATAAGGAGAGCAGTTAAAGCTAGAGAGAGATGCAAATAGGGAAAACTTGGGGTCTCCCATCTGTGGCTGTGGGGCAGAGGATTAGAAGCAGAGTATAGTCAGAGGCAGGGGAGCACAGAGCACTCAGAACGGGGCAACCACCGGCGGGCCCAAGGGCTTCAAACGAGTGACGGCTCCTATGACTACAATCACTTTGTCCAAACACGAGGTATTTGGCACACCAGACTTTTATTTCACAGCACTGATGATAGCTCACTCCTTTCAAAAAGCAGCAGCCAAGAAAAAGGAAGTGGTCCTCCCTCGGGGGGCGTGCAGCTCATCTTGGTAAGCGGGCCCCTGCTCGGGCTAGGTCGTGGGACCCTTTCTGCCAGTCCCTTACCCGGCTGCGCAGGTCTGATATGATGGCTGTAAGGTCGATGTTCTTCCTCTCATAGCCCTGCAACTGGTCTTGACATTCGGCCAGCTTAGCCTCCGTGATCTTGAGGATGTCAGGCAGCTGCTGCAGGTCAGCCAGCTGGGACTGGAACTGCCGACGTGCCTGAGCAGGAAGAGAAGCCCACCATTGGCACAGGCCCAGCTACCACTGGGGCCAGACAAGAGTCCTCTGGAGTTAGGGCAGGGCTGCCTAGAATCCCAAGAGGATCCTGAAAAACCCACAGGCAACAGCGTGGCCTGCTCTCCCTGCAGGTGTCCAGCTGCTTTCTGTGGTACTTACTTGAGCCTGCTTTGCCACTTGAGCTTGTCATTCGTTTAGTCATCAAATAACAGTGGCAACCATAAACTAAAAAGCCAAGACCTTACTGGAGGCAGCAGTGCACACCTGTAATCCCAGGCGTTTGGGAGGCTGGGGAAGGATGATTGCAAGTTCAAAACCAGCCTCAGCAACTTAGCAAGACCCTAGGTTACTTACTTAGTGAGACCTTGTCTCAAAATGAAAAATAAAAAGTGCCCCTGGATTAAATCCCCAGTATCAAAAAAAAAAAAGGGGGGGGTGCTGAGGATATAGCTCAGTTGGTAGAGTGTTTGCCTTGCATATACAAAGGCCCTGGGTTCAATCCCTAGCACCACACACACACAAAAAAAACCGAGACCTAGGTATCTTCATAAGAGTCCTCTTATGATGCTCCATGCAGGAGGGTTTTTTGGTTCTGTTTTTTTAAATAAGTGGAATCTGGGGGCTGGGGCTGTAGTTCAGTGGTAGAGCACTTGCCTTGCATGAGGACCACATAAAAATAAATAAATAAAGATATTTTTTAAAAAAAAGTGGAATCTGGGTGTATAGCTCAATTATAGACACATACTCATCATGTATTAAGACCCTGGGTTGATCCCCACACCACCACAAAAAAGAACTGCAAGAGAAGAGGGGAAAAAACCACAAGGGAAAAAAGGCATAATAAGCATGAGAGAGAGAAGAAAAGAGAGGACAAGATGAAAAGAAAGGAGAGAGCGTATTTGTGGTGAAGCAGACCGGCTCACCCATGGGAAATGTTACTCTTTGTCATCCAAATCAGGCAGGGTTAAAGGCACACATTGGAGATAGATTCACAGTCATGAAATTAGACATTAGAACTGGGTAAGGAAGAAAGCAAGGAAGGGGAGCAGTACCGCCTCAATCTCTTTGTTCATCTCGTCTTTAAGGATCTTGTTCTCTTTGTCACAGCGTTCTAGCTGGGCAGCCACTTCATCAGCCTCCAATCTGGTTTTCATCACCTAGGGATCAACAATGCAATGGGACACATTAGACAGAAGCAAATTTGGCTAAGAACCACCAGCCATGCCCACTGCTTCCTGGAAAACGAGGGTGGTGAGCCTCCTGCCCAATGGTAGTGAGGTGGGCATAGCTTGGAGGACTAGGGTTTACCTGACTCTTATAGTTGTCGATCATCCCCTCATAGTTCTTCACTGATGCCTTCAGCTGTTGGACCTCAATGTGGGCCTGGTTGAGCTTGTCCTCCATCGGGGCGAAGCTCGCCTAGAAGGGATGATACTCTGAGAACTACCAGTTCTGGATCAGGTGGCCCTCAACTCTATTCCCAGAAGCCAGCAAAGGAAAGGCCCTACTCTAACCCACACAGCAGCTTTCCTTGAGAGTCTCCAGGTAAGATTCCTAAAGTAGCCAACTCAGGTGAAAATGGATACAAATTTTTTTTTTTTTTTAAACTACTGGGGACTGAACCCAGGGGTTTAGGGCCTCACTAAATTGGGTCTCATTAAGTTGCAATCCTCTTGTGATTATAGGTGTGTGCCACCACGCTCAGCTAATAAATGTCATTTTTTATTTCAAAAGCAATATAGAATTGTTCAAGAAAATGGAGGGTTGGTGGTGTGACTCAATGATACAGTAATTGCTTACCTTGCCTAGTATGTGTGTGAGGCCCTGGGTTTTATCCCCAGTACCAAAAAAAAAAAAAAAAAGGAGGGGGGCATAAACCTAGACACACAAATTATAATGCAAAATACCTATGATATGGTTATATATCTACAGTTCTGTGCTTATTTTATATTTGTCAGCAAGAATGGGATAATACTTCACTTACTACTTTGCAACATACTTTTTAAATTAACAATATGCTGTAATTTTCTTCTCAAGTCAATAAATCTCCTCCTCTAACCCAAAAGACCACCTTTGATAAGACAGTATACGTATAAATCATAGTATCAAAATACAGTAAAATAACAAGCAGTGATTTAAAAAAAAAAAAAAAAAAAGCCGGCACCATGGTACACACCTAACTCAAGAGGCTGAGATGGGAGAATCTCAAGTTCAAGGCTAGCCTGGACAACATAGTAAGACCCCATCTCAAAAAAACAAAACAAAAATAAAAATAAATAGATAAAGCTTTAAAAAAATGGGTCTAAAAAGATGTCTGTGAAATAAGAAAAGCAAGGGGCTAGGGTTGTGTCTCAGTGGTAGAGAGCTTGCCTACCCATGTGGCTTGGGCTGGGGATGTGGCTCAAGCGGTAACGCGCTCGCCCCACATGCGCGGGGCGCTGGGTTCGATCCTCAGCACCACATAAAAATAAAATAAAGATGTTGTATCCACCGAAAACTGAAAAATAAATATTAAAAAAATAAAAAAATAAAATAAAGAAAATTATCAGATGTATATTCTTTTCCATACCTACTTAAAATCAATCTTACTTAACAAATCAGGGGGAAAAAAAACTTATAATGCCATGCCCAAGATCAAAGATGTCTCTCTACCTAGGGCACAGTGGCACACACCTATAATCCCAGCAGCTCAGGAGGCGGAGGCAGGAGGCTCGTGAGTTCAAAGCCAGCCTAAGCAATTTAGCGAGGCACTAAGCAACTCAGTGAGATTCTGTCTCTAATAATGTGGCTTCAGTGGTCGAGTGCCCCTTAGTTCAATCCCTGGTACCCCCCCCAAAAAAAAGATGTCTCTCTAGAGTCCATCTCTGCTCAGGTGCCTCTGACCTGGCTGCTGGGAGCGTGTATCTCCAAAGCTGAGACTCAGGTTAGGTTCAAGTTCCACTCTCAAAATTCCCAGGGCAAAATCCCGGCAATAAACTTGACTTTTTCCAAACCTCGGTTTCTGGTTTGTTTGTTTCTGAGGTGCTGCAGGTGGAACCCAGGGCTTCACACATGCTAGGCAAGTGCTCTACCACTGACCTATACCCCTAACCCAGTTTCCTTGGTCTTATTCCAAATGAAGATCATCATTATATTACTTCATCATTATATAACTAAGAGGCTGAAGTGAGAATGAATGCATGTGAAGGGGCCCAGCAGTCCCCCAAGAGAACCAAGGTTAACCTCAAAGTTGGTCAGATCCATCTCACAGGGGCTGGCTAAGCACGCCATATAAAACACTTCTCATGCATTACCATATTCCCATGAGGACCCTCTTCTCCCTCAGCTCAGGGAACTTCAGCAATAAGCAACACAGTGTCTCACCCAGGCCCTTCAACTAGTGACAGGTGGAGTGCACACCTAAGCCCAGGGCTCATAGCCTGGAGAACATGCCCTTTAGCTGCCTGAAGGCTCTCTGAAGTCCCCTGGCTCATCTCTGTAGCCCAGGCCTGTCCCACTATTGGCCTTGGGTTCTCCATTCTGCCTGGTTAGAAGTTCCCAACAGACCTTCAGCCTCTCGTTCTCCAACTTGAAGGCAGAATACTCAGCAGTCTGCCGATGCAGTCTCTCCACCAGACTGTCTCGATCTTCCCGCATCTTCTCCTCCAAGGTTTGTTGCTGGTTTACAAGATCTGTCACCCGGCTGGAAGGTTGCAAAATGACAGCAGATCGAATAAATTCCACAGGTTCTGGGGAGCTCAGGTCTTTGTAAGGAGTGGCACCAAGTATCCCTACCCATGCCAGGTCTCATCTCTTAGCATGTTGCTACCTAGTTAAATCCTCTAAGATTTGTCTCCCATGATACTCACTCCAAGAAGCAATCTATAGTAGTTCAATCATAAATGATGACTTAAGTATGTGCAGGGGCTGGGGGTGTAGCTCAGGGGAGCAGAGCACTCGCCTAGCATGTTTGAATCCCTGGGTTCAAAGCCCAGAAGTGGAAAAAAAAAAAAAAGAGAAAGAAAGAATACATCCTTCTTTCTCTATGAAGCCAAGACGCTCCCTGAAGACGAGAACCAGGGACATGGTCCCTCCCAGCTCCCCTGGCACTCACCTGCTCTCTCAGCTCATAGGGCCTTGGTGTTATGAAAGATTCCTTTGGAATTGTTTCCTGACCTCCCAAGTGGTGGCCACAGATTACTGGCCAGGCATTATTCACCAACAGGGCACTGGACACATTGGACTTTGCTCCCCACAGATATTGCCAGGTGCCTCTACTGACTTGTTCTTGGGTATGAACACCCAGCTGGCAATGAGTATGTATGGGGAGAGGTCTAAGTGCCAGTAAAGATGTCATTTGGGGAGGTAGCAGACTCTGCCCTTTTTCCTTTTCCCTCATTCTCATTATGTCTGGGATCAGACCTGACACATTGGAGTCCTAGGCCTCACAGATGCTTCCTAGCCTTTTGACCTCAAACATATCATAAAACCTTGACTCTGCATGTGCTCTCACTTGGTTTTGTTTGTTTTTTGTTTTGGTGCTGGGGATCAAATCCAGGGCCTTGTGCACACTGGGTCAAGTGCTCTACCCCTGACTTTATCCCTAGCTGTGTTCTCAGTACTGTTCACTGAAAGTGTATATTCAGCAAAAACTTGTGCAGTAGCTGGGCATGATGGCACACATCTGTAATCCCAGCCACTCAGGAAGCTGAGGCAGGAGGATTGAGAGTTCAAAGCCAGCCTCAGCAAAAGCAAAGCGCTAAGCAACTCAGTGAGACCCTGTCTCTAAAATACAAAACAGGGCTGGGGATGTGGCTCAGTGGTCCAGTGCCCCTGAGTTCAATATCCACTACCCAAAAAAAATAAAAAATATTTTAAAAATAAGTTTAAAAAAACTTGTAGAGCACTAACTGGGCCCAACCAAACATCTCATTTTATGTGGCAAACTCCTTCTTACCCTTAAAAACTGTCCCCATTAGGACATCTCTTCCTCACTCTCATTTGTACCACTATCCTTCTACCTTAATGATTTCTTTTCTCCCACTAGATGGAGAACTCTGAGGACAGCACTGGGCATAAGGCCCAGCACATGGCAGGTTATCAGCATGTATGTGCGAAGCTAAGCTGTGGCCTCTCCCTGTTACCCATCCTCAGCCCATGGGATTCTGTCTCTTGCAGCCCATCTTCTCCGCTGGAGCAACGGCAGGCAGTACATTTGTCTTCTCATTGCCATAGCCCATAGCTGACATTGAGAATGACTGAGTGCTCACTGTTGACAATTCACAAATAGCAAAAAAGTTGAGTTCAGTCACAACAACCTGAGGCCATTTTTGCCCCTACTCCCATGCCATAGCACGGACCTGCTGACCAGTGGACATTGACAGACAGCTGCTTACCACTAGTAAAACAAGAAAGGGGACACAGGAAACACCTTCTGCTCCATCCCCCAAGAATAGGAAACAAGGAAGTCAGCGTGTCCATGTACCATACTGCAGGTTTGGACCAGACTTGGGCTTCTGGGACCACAGAAGCAAGCCCACCACCCCCTCGGAGTGCTTGCAAGTGGCGTGGGAGTCCAGGGCTGGGCCAGAGCTTGCATGAGCTCCAAACACAGCCTGGCTCAGGGCTGCCCACATCTCGGCCCAGTCAACCCCAACCCAGAGAGATCATGGCATTCCTGTGAGCCTTGACCTCAGGGTGCCTGACTCCTTCCTCCTGTACCCTGAAGTCCTTCAATCAGCCTCCTCTCCTAACACAAAGACGTACTCGTTCAGGACAATAATTTCCAGCTCAAGGTCGCCCTTGTCTTTCACAACCTGGTTGTAGCGGCTCCTCCATGATTCCAGAGTGGATAAAGCTTCAGCAACATAAAGATCCTGGGAACACAGGACAGCGGGCATGTCAGCTTGGGGTCAGCACCAGGCTTCAGGAAGGTGAGGCTGGGGCTCACCTCTCCCCCTGACAACCTGAACCTCATTCTGTCCCCTCTCTCTAGAGCACCAGGAGTGACAGCAGGAGGCTGTGCTGTTCCCAGATGCCCAGCACCACACACATCCTGTCTGTCATCATTCCGACCCACAATGTTGACAGGTCTGAATTGTTCCAGACCCATCTCCTCCTTTTCCCCTCTGAGTCTCCCCAAATTCCCCACCCCAGCCATCCATCTCTCCAGTTCATTCCTTTCCACTACCATCGTCCCTCCATTCAACACCCATCGCTTCTATCTACCCACCCCACCATCCAACCCTCCTGGGGCAGCAAGATGCCAGCCCCAGCCTGCTACCTTGTCGGCAAGTTGCACATGCAGCTGCTCAGCGTACTCCTCACTCTTCTCAGCGCGCTCCTTCTGGGCTCGGATGGCCTTCTTCAAGGTATCTTTGTCTCGATCTCCCTTTTGCTTCAGTTCCTTCAGCTGCTCCATAATTGCCTCCACTTCCGCCTTGTGCTGGTTCCCACTGCGCTCTAAATTCTGGGAGAGGGCAGAAAGGAGAAGAGAAGGAAAGAAGTGAGAAAGGCAGAGGCAGAATAGGAGAGACAGAAAAGGGGCACAAGCAGAAAGAGGAAATAAGGGAGTGGCCATGAATCAGCTGTGCAAGGACTTCAGGCTCTCCTGAAGTAGACCAAAGATATGGTACCTCCAGGTTCCCCATGGCACCTCCTGATTGTCTCAGACCAGCAGGTTTTGATGATAAGACAATCCTTTGGAAGCCTCTTCTCTGAACTCTCAGCCAAGTAGTGAAGAGATACTCCTCACTTAACAGAGATATTGACCTTTAAGAGCAGTTGAGAATATTGCCTTCCCCTAGTGAGTCTGGTGAACTAAGGGACTAGGGAACTAAGTGACAAGTCCAGGGACATGGCACCCAAGCTTGTCACCTCTGGAAAGACCTTCCAAAGCCATGACTTTTGCCATTTTCTAGAATCTCTCTGGAGAATGAGTGCTTTGGCAGCAGCTGTCCCCTAGATCTCTGGGGCACAATTCTACGGTGGGAACTCCTGGACCAGGCCCCTACCTCCTCCTTTGCTACTTGGGGGCAGCTGGTAGGTACCTTGATCTGCATGCACAGGCGACTGTTCTCAGCCTCTTTGCACCGAAGTTGCGCCTGCAGATGCCCACGCATAGACTCCATGGACTTTGAAAGCTCAGATGCAGTCTTTGCTTGAGCCTTTGGAGAGACAGAAAGTGATGAAGCCAGGATCTGTACCTAGTACAGCACCCACTGTGCTACACTGGCTTGTAAAGAGGTGCAGCTGCTGGGGACTGTACCTTCTCACATTGTATTTCCTGGAGGAGCTCTTCTACCTCCTTATCCTTGTCTTGTAGCATTAACAGCAGGCGCTGGGAGAAAATGTACATGGTCACACTCCTGGAATGGTCAAAGAGGACCAGCCCAGGAAGGACAGAGAATTGTGTTGTGCTTTGACACTGGGGCCCGAGGTCCCACATACCACAGAGACCCATGGAAAGCATCTGACATATATACTAATTGGGTTGGGGTTTTTTTGGTATTGTAGAGGATTGAACACAAGGTCTTACACATGCTACGCAAGTGCTCTACTGAGCTACATCCCCATCTCTTTTTTTTGAGGAGGGAGTAGGGAGGTGTTACTGGGGACTGAACTGACGGGCACTCTACAGACTTACATCTCTAACCCTTTTTATTTTTTATTTGGAGTTAGGGTCTCAGCCTACCAAATCTCTAGGATTATAGGTATCTATCACCACACCCATTTTTTTTGTTGTTTGTTTTGAGACAGGTCTTGTTACATTGCTCAGACTGGGGGCTGGGGTTGTAGCTCAGTGGTAGAGTGCTTGCCTAGCACACGTGAGGCATTGGGTTCAAACCTCAGCACCATATAAAAATGAAATAAAACATTATGTCCACTACAACTAAAAAATGAATTTAAAAAAAAAATTGCTCAAACTGGCCTTAAATTTGCTATCCCCTGCCTCAGCCTCCTGAATAGATGGGATTAAAGACATGTACCACACTACACCAGCTATATAGGCATCTAACTTATTTTTTTCTTTTTTCTTTTTGGTGGTTCTGGGGATTGAACCCAGGGCCTCACAACAGTCTAGGCAAATGCTCTACCACTAAATACATCCCTAGCCAATATCTATTTTTTTCTATATCATTTTTTCTTGGCGGGGGAGGTACCAGGGATTGATCTCAGAGGCACTGAGCCACATCCCTAGCCCCATTTTGTATTTTATTTAGGGACAGAGTCTCACTGAGTTGCATAGCACACCTCACTTTTGCTGAGGATGGCTTTGAACTCAGTATTCTCCTGCCACGGCCTCCCAAGCTACTGGGATTACAGGCATGCACCAACTTATTCGGCTCAATATCTATTTTTTGATGGCTTGGAATCCATAATAAAAACAGAAATGTAGGTCTAACAAAACCTAGTGATTTATAAATCACTAGGTTATCCTTATTACCATTCTTCATGTTGGTATCCAGTTTTATAGGTCAAGCTCTCAAGTGATCAACTAGACAAGTCTAGTAGAGCAGCCAGGACAGGGGATGTCAACTCATTTTACAGATAATGAAATCGCCACTCAGAAAAATGCCAGATCAGGAATGCCAAGTTCCTGTGGTCCAGTAGCTCCATGCTTTGGGACCCAGCCCTCTGGTCGCCTGTACCCGTTATGCCGACAGGGGGCAATGGTTACCGCTTTTTCGGAGTCCGCCTCTGCAAGCCTTTTCAGTAGTGCTCCTTGTTGCTCCATTAGTCTCTCGGAATCCTTTAGGGAGGGGCAAGGGGAAAGCCAAGTCAGATCCTACATCCTATTGATTCTTTTCTTTTTCCAAAAACATTTCTAAATTTAGGAGTTAAAAATGATTATTAATACATTCTAAAATAGTGAATGCCAATAAAGTTCAAATTCCCCTGCACCCCCCCTTCAAACCTTACCCCACTATTTTTGTGATGGCTTGGAATCCATAATAATAATAATCAATGAGGGTCTTTCCTGTCCTTTTCTGTGCACTTAAATTTAGCCACAACTAGAGAAATATTATCTTTCTTTAGTCAGGTGGGGGATGGCCTAGTGTATAATTCCATAAAACTAATATGTATTTACGTGTTGCAACCTGATTTTTTCTCTCCAGTACAGGGGATTGAACCCAGGGGTGCTCTACCCCTAAACTACATCTTTACCCCTTTTTAATTTTGAGGCAAGGTCTCGCTTAATTTCCAGGCTGCCCTTTAAATTGCCATCCTCTTGCCACAGCATGCTGTATAGCTAGGATTAAAGGTGTATGCCACTACATCTGGCTGCAATGTAACTTTTGGGGGGGAGAGGAGGGTATTTGTTTCTGGTACCAGTGATTGAACCCAGGAGCATTCATTCAACCACTGAGCCACATCCCTAACCCAATTTTTATTTTATTTTGAGAGAGGGTTTCACCTAAATTGCTAAGGGCCTTGCTAAATTCTGAGGCTGGCTTTGAATTTGTGATTCTCCTGTCTCAGCCTCCCAAGCAGCTGGGATTATAGGCCTGTGCTCTGTGCCAGGCCACAATGTAATATTTTTTTTGTACTGGGGATTGAACCCAGGGGTGCTGAATGACTGAGCCATATTCCTAGCCCTTCTTGTATTTTATTTAGATACAGAGTCTTGCTAAATTGCTGAGGCTGGCTTTCAAATTGCGATCCTCTTAACTTAGGCTCCCATGATTTTTTTAAAGACAGCTTTATTGAGATACAAATTTGCTGCTGGGCATAGTGTCACACCCCTATAATCCCAGTGATTTGGGGGGACTGAAGCAGGAGGATCACAAGTTCAAGGTCAGCCTCAGTAACTTACTGAGGTCCTAAACAATTTAGTGAGACACTGTCTCAATCAAAAAAATAAAAAGGGCTGGGAATATAGATCAGTAGTAAAGCACCCTTGGGTTAAATCTCCAGTACCAAAAAAAAAAAAAGGAAAGAAAATTAAAAGGACTGGGGATATAAGGATATAGCTTAGGGATAAAGCACCCTGGGGTTCAATTCCCAGTACCAAAAATAAATAAATAAATAAATTTGAAGATGATTCTATTCATCCATTTAAAATATCCAACATGGTGACTACAGTTAATAATAGTGAATTGTATGCTTAAAATTTGCTAAGAGAACCGAAGTGTTCTCACCACACAAAATGACTGTGTAAGGTGATCATTAATTAGCTTGATTGTGGTATCATTTTACAATGTACATATATATCAAATCATCTCATTGAACACCTTAAACATATACAAAATATATATGTGTGTGCATTAGAAATTGAATCCAGAGGCATTTAACCCCTAAACCATACTCCTAGACCTTTTTATTATTTATTTAGAGACAGGGTGTCACTAAGTTGCTTAGGGCTTGCTAAATTACTGACACTGGCTTTGAATTCATGATCCTCCTTCCTTCAGGCTCCTGAGTTGTTGGGATTACAAGCATGCGCCATCACACCCGGCTTTACTTACTTTCCAAATATACTTCAACAGGATGTGGGGGGAAAAGGTACACTCATACATTGCTAGTGGGAATGTAAATTGGTACAATTACTTTGGAAAGCAATATGGAGATTCCTCAGAAAACTTAGAATGGAAGCACCATTCAACTCAATCATTCCACTCCTCTGCATATACCCAAAGGACTTAAGATCAGCATATACAGTGATACAGCCACATCAATGTTTATAATACTTATTTTTTAGTTTTTGGCGGACACAACATCTTTGTTTGTATGTGGTGCTGAGGATCGAACCCAGGGCGCACACATGCCAGGTGAGTGTGCTACTGCTTGAGCCACATCCCCAGCCCCACATCAATGTTTATAGAAGCTCAATTCATGATAGCTAAACTATGGAACCAGTCTAGATGCCCTTCAACAGATGAATGGATAAAGAAAATGTGGTATATATACACAATGGAATATTATCCAGCCATAAAGAATGAAATTAAGGCATTTGCCAGTATATAGATAGAACTGGAGAATATCATGCTAAGTGAAATAAGCCAATCCCCAAAAAACAAAAGCCAAATATTCTCTCTGATATATGGATGCCAACACACAATGGGAGGGGGATGGAAGAATAGAAGTTCATTGAATTAGACAGGGTAATGAAGGGAAGGGAGAGAAGATGAGAATAGGAAAGACAGTAGAATGAAATCAGGCATAACTTTCCTATATTCATATATGAATACACAATCAGTGTAACTCCACACCATGTACAACCACAAAAATGGGATGTATACTCCATGGATGTAATAATATATCAAAATGTACTCTACTGGGGCTGGGGTTGTGGCTCAGTGGTAGAGTGCTTGCCTAGCGTGGGTGAGGCACTGAGTTTGGTTCACAACACTGCATATAAATAAATAAATAAAATAAAGGTCAATCAACAACTAAAAAAATTAAAATTAAACAAATAAATAAACAAAAATTCTACTGTCATGTATATCTAAAAAAAACTAATAAAAAAGGACCAGGGCTGCCCAAGCCCTTTGGAGAGCATATCTCACCAAACACACACACAGACACACAGACACAGACACACAGACACACAAACACAAATAAAAAACCTTAACAATCACTGAGTTGCTTAATGCCTTGGTTTTGCTGAGGCTGGCTTTGAACTCATGATCCTTCTGCCTCAGCCTCCTGAGAGCTGGGATTACAGCCATGCACCACTGTGCCTGGCTCACTTACATTTGATACTCTCAAAATATTATACAAACATCGCCCATATCAGAAGGGTGGGAGGGAAAGAGAGGGCAGGGGATTAGCAAGAACAGTGGAATGTGATGGACATCATTATCCAAAGTACATGTAATGAAGACTCAAATTGGCCAACATACTTTATATACAGAGGTATGAAAAAGTGTGGTATATATGTGTAATAAGAATTGCAATGCAAAAAAAAAAAGTACATGTATAATGGCATGAATTGGCATGAACGTACTTTATATACAAAGATATGAAAAACTGTGCTCTATAAGTGTAATAAGAATTGTTATGCATTCCGCTGTCATGTATTTAAAAAAGTGTAAAAAAGGGGCTGGGGATGTGGCTCAAGTGGTAGCGCGCTCGCCTGACATGCGTGCGGCCTGGGTTCGATCCTCAGCACCACATACCAACAAAGATGTTGTGTCTGCTGATAACTAATAAATATTTTTAAAAAATTCTCTCTCTCTAAAAAAAAAAAATGTTAAAAAAGTGTGTAAAAAAAAAAAACATCACCCATATCTAGTTCTGCTTTTATCACCCCACAAAGAAACCCTGTACTATTAAGCCCTAGCCCCTGGGAACCATTATAACCTGCTTTCTGCCTTTCATCTGTCCTTGAATTTTTAACTTCTCTGTCTCTGTCGTTGCTTCTTTTTCTGTGTGTGTGGAGTTGGGAGGGGGACATACCAGGAATCGAAGCCAGTGCCTTAGGTTCCCTTAGCAAGTGCTCTACCACTGGGCTACACCCCCAGCTCCCTATCTTTTTCTGAGATGAGGTTTCACAGCATTGCTCAGGTCAGCCTCGAACTAACAATCCTCTTGCTTCAGCTTCCTGCATCGTTGGGATACCACTATACCTGCCCATTCTCAGCCTTTTTATTTTATTTTGAGATAGGATCTCACTAAGTTGACAAGGGTGGCTTCGAACCTGTGATTCTCCTGCCTCAGTCTCCTAAATTGCTGGGATTATAGGTATGCGCAACTGCACCTGGCTGCATTTTTAACTTCTGTTCACAGTCTGGGCAATAAGGCTGCTCCTATGTTTAGTAACACTGTGACAATGAACATCATTAAGCGTCTTTAGGAGCTTCTCCATGGTTGGCAGAGTCAGAAGGTCTGGGATTTGTGGCTGAAATGCCCCACAAAATGCCTGCACCAACTTATAGTCAGGCTGTGAGCATCCTGGCTTCCCCACATGCAGCAGCCCCAGACTGTAACCAAGGTCTTTGCCAACACCATACCTGTTTGAATTTGCTTATTTCTAATTACCAGCAAGTCTCAGCATCTTCTCATATGCCTATTAGGCATCGGATTTCCTCTGCCCTCAATTGCCCACTCTCACCCTTGCCCATCTTTTCTCTGGATGAATTTGTGTGTGTCTCTATTCTTTCCTGGCACCTAAACCAAGTATCCCCTTGAAGGGGATTTGCCTCTTTTCTCCCTCAGTCCCACAGTTCCACTTCACAAGCCAAGAGAAAAAAAGGGCTCTCTGGTTCCCAATTTCCTGAGGATCTAGAAGGCAGAGGATAGCACTGAGTTTCTCTAGCAACAAGAAGAGACAAGAGAACACAGACAAAAGCCTTGGCCAGGGACCCAGAGCCTGAAGCTGCTGTCCCTGCCCTCTAGGCAGCTAGAGGGACACTAAAAGAGTTACCAACTCTCCTGCAACCCTGTGTGCACAGACTCACTGAAGTACTCCACCCTAAGAGGCACCATCGTCACTACCTCAGACGAGGAGGCAGAGAGTGGAAGAAATGAAGGCAAGTTGGCCAAGGTCACCTAGCTGGAAATGGCAGAGCTGAACCCTGAGGCTGACTTGGACTCCAGAGCTAGAGCAGCTCCCCAACACAATGAGCACTCCCTAGTAAACCCGAGATAGGGTGAGGGCTTGGGGAATGGAGAGATTGTATTATAGAATCCAAGTAGGCACAAGGACATGAGCCTGGACAGAATAGGGAACATGTTTTGCTGGGTGGAAATTTAAACTAATTGACACTTCTTCAATTGGCAATGGACTCCGGGGTAATAGAGGTTAAGAAGTCAAAAAAGGAGAAAAGGATTAAGAAGTTTTCTGTAGGAACCAGTCCAGACAAATGCAGCAGCACCAGTATGCCCCAGCAAAGATACACATCCCCATCCACACATCCACATAACTCTCACACAAAGATTATGTGCCCATTTTATAGGTTTGAAAACTAAGGCCCAGAGAGGTACTAAGAATCACCTGTCTGAGCTTACTGAGCCAATAAAACAGGTAGAACTATTTTAGAACTATTTAGAACTAATTTGGTCCTAACTAGAAATTCTCCAGTAAACCAAGATAGTGTACATGAACATTATTTTTGATAGCAAACAACTGAAAATATAAGTGTCCATCTTCAAAAGAAGGGACTGGACACAGTGGCACACACCTGTAATTCCAGCAGCTCGAGAGGCTGAGCAGGAGGATCCACAAGTTCAAAGCCAGCCTCTGCAACTTATTAGCAAAGTCCTAAGCAACTTAGTGAGAGTCTGCCACAAAATAAAAACTAAAAAAGGGCTGGGGGATATGGCTCAGTGGTTAAGTGCCTCTGGGATCAACCCCTGGTATTAAAAAAAAGAAGAAGAAGAAGAAGAAGGGATAAATAAACTGTGGTAGAGTTGTAAAACTGAATATAGCAGTGAAGATTCATAACATTAGGACTCAGGATATAAATGATCTCATAAAATTATTGTTGAGTAAACAAAACAAACTCAAAAGAACACATATGCAACAATATCATTTACATTGTTATAAAATATGCTAAATAACAGGTTGCTTTGGGATACACATATGAGTAAAAACTATCAAATTCAAGATCAAGGTTCCCCCTAAGGAGAGGGAGATAAGATTATCACAAAAGGAGACAAAAAGGAATCTGACCATGTGGACAAGGTTTTATTTTGAAAATAAGGCAGTATCCCACTTTATATTAGTTATTTTATATATTAACTTAAAAAAGAAAGTTTGACAATGTTAAAAAGGAAGGAAGAAAGAAAACAAGCTAAAGAAATGTCATTTCAGGGGCTGGGGTTGTAGCTCAGCAGTAGCGCGCTTTCCTAGCACATGTGAGTCTCTGGGTTTGATCCTCAGCACCACATAAATAAATAAAATAAAGGTACTGTATCCATCTACAACTTCAAAAAAAGAAAAAAAGAAATGTCATTTCATTAGCACTGGTATTTTGAGACCCTTGGCATCCTTCCCTTTGAATCAAACGGGAAGACAACTACTTATTCTAGCAGTCTTTTGAGAAATGTTTGCTGGGCTGAGGGTATAGAAGTAGAAGATCTACGCCCATTTCATAGGCTATTTCCATTTATGCTTGCCTAGTACTCGCAAGGCCCTGGGTTTAATCCCTAGCATGCAAAAAAAGAAAAGAAAAAAGAATAAATGCTAAAATATTCACAATAGCCAAGATCTGGAATCTATCTAAATATCTATCAATGGTTGAATGGATAAGGTAAATGTGTATACAATGGAATACTAACTAGCCTTAAAAAATAAATAAATAAAGGAAATCCTGACACTTCTGACAACATGGACAAACCCAGAGGACATTAAATGAAATAAACCAGGCACAGAAAGACAAATACTACATGATCTCACTTATGAATGGAATCTCAGAAAGGCAAATTTACAGAAGCAGAGAGAAGAAAAGTGATGGCCATGGGCTTGAGTGGGGACTAGGAGAGAGACTGTGCAAAAGATACAAAATTCAGTTAAGTGGAATAAGTTCAAGAGCTCTATTATACAACATAGTAATTAGTAACGATGGGTTGCATGCTAGAAAATTGCTAAGACTAGATTTAAGTGCTCTCACCACAAATAAATGGTAACACATGTTAATTAGCTTGATTTAGCCCTTTCACAATGTACACCTATTTCAAAATATCACATTGTATGTTATTAATACATACAATTTTATTCATGAATTTAGAAAATGAGACAGCCCAGTGTAAAGCACTTGCCCAGCATGCTCAAAGCCCTGGGTTAGACTCCTACAACCTGCCTCCCACACACACCAAAATGAGTTTCAGAGGACATCTCTCTGAAAACAGTGACACCACCCAATGTGTGGCCACCAGTCATTAGTTATACTGCTACTTAACAAAAAAATGCAGATCTGGCTTTCTTTCCTCTGCCCCATGACCCCTGCAATGAAACAACTCATCATCATCTTTCTGAATTTCAAGAACTATGCTCCTGGCCTGGCTTCAACAGCAGCCATAGTGGCACCTGCCTATAGGGCATCAAGAACTTCACACAATTTCATTAGATCTCTCCCAGGCCCTGTCAGCTCCTTGTTTTTTCTTGGGGGGTGGGGTGGGGGGAATTGAACTCAGGTCTTGGCACTTGCTAGCCAAGCCCTCTACCATTGAGCTATATTACTAGCCCTTTTACAATTTTGAGATAGGATCTCACTAAGTTAACCAGGCTGGCCTCAAATTTGTGATCCTCATGCCTCAGCCTCCCAAGGAGTTGGGAATACAGGTGTATGCCACTGTGCCATGTTTCTGCTTTTTTATTTTGCCATTCTGGAGATAGAACCTAGGATCTTGAGCACAGAAAGCAAGTACTCTACCACTGATCTATATCCCAGCCCTGTAGTATCTTTATTTTTTTTGCTCTTTTAGTATTGGGAATTTAATCAAGAAGCATTTAACTACTTAGCCATATTCCCAGCCCTTTTGATTTGATTTGATTTTTTTATTTTGAGACAGGGTCTCACTAAGTTGCTGAGGTTATCCTTAAACCTGCAATCCTCCTGCTGAGCTTCCTGAGCTCCTGGGATTACAGGCATGTGCCACCACACCTGGCCAGTAGAATCTTCTTTTTATAGTAGTATCCTCTTGGGAAGCCAGGCAGGTGGTGCTAATGGGTGCAGCAGACGCCAGGAGCTCACCTCTTTGCAGTGCTGTTCCCTCAGCAGGTCTCGGAGGGTGCGGTTGGTCTCCTCGAACGTGCTCAGCTTCTGCAGGAGCAGTTCCTTCTGCCTCGTTAGGGTGTTGATGTCCGTGCAGGTCATTTGTTTCTCCTGGAAGAAAGCACATCTTACACAGTGCAGGAGAAGGGACTCTAGAGGTGCCGGCACCAAGAAGCCCAGGCAAGAGAATCTTGGCCAAGGGGATCAAGGGCAGGCTTACTGGATGAGGCAGGCCTGCGGAGGCAAGAGGTGTAGTAGACCTCAGTGTGGGTAAGTGTGGTGAGGGCGGGCTTCGCAGAGGAGACAAGGGAGGATGACGACACCTGGTGGCTGACACTTGCAGGAATCAACAGCATGCCTTGACTCACTGTGATCCCAGGCAACCCATGATGAGATCTCCTCAGAGGCCCTAGCCACCAGAGGTCATCTTCCAGGGTCAAGGCCCAGGAAGTGAGAGTAGGGGGTGGGGGCAGGGGAGTTAAGTGTACCCTTCCCCCATCCTGGAGATGTCATAAAGTCAGTCTGATGACTACGTAAAGCCCCAACCCCAGCCTGGCCCCCACCCACTGGGCCCAGACCCAGACCTTGTGCCTGCCACCTACTGTCTTCAGTTTCCCGATGGTATCCTTCAGGGCCATGACTTGCTTAGCGGCGGCAGCTCCATCCATTTCAGCCTCGACCAGCTTGGACATGAGGCACTCCTTCTCCTGCTGGAGGTGTTTCTTCTGAAGCCTGGGGCCAGAAAGGCAGGGTTTGGTGAGCCCTTGCAGGCCCTGCCTGCCCAGAGCTCTGAGACCCGCCTCACAATGCACTGTGAGGCTCCCCTCCTGCCAAGAAAGAATGGGGGAGGGGACAGGGGTGGCCCTTCTGGCACCAATGGCTTTCCAGAAAGATGAGGGCCAGGATTCACATCTGCCTGAGCACCAGACACACTCTCCAACACCAGGGAACATTATGGCCAGCCACCATAGTTGCCACTGCCATGGCTTCCTAACCATCATCTTCAGAGCTGTGTTTTTTCTTTTTTTTTCCAGTATTGGGGGTTGAATCCAGGGGTACTCTACAACTGAGCAACATGCCCTTTTTAATTTTTTGAGATAGGATCTCACCGAGTTGCTAAGGCTGGCCTGGAACTTTCAATCCTGCTGCTTCAGGATTTGCTGGGATGACAGTTGTGGCCACTATGCCTGGCAGTATCTGCTTTGAGCTCTCTCCCATCCACCCTCCACACCAGAACAGAGCCTGGTCACAAAATTACCCTGCTTTTATTTTATTTTTTTAGTATTAAAAATATTTTTTATTGACTGAAGCTGATCAGTTCTCTTAGAAGGGACCCAGAGCACACATATTCTTTAAAAAATAAAATTACTTAACAATTTAAAATGGAAGTGTTTTAGTCTTTAATATAAAAAAAATTTCATGAAACTTGGTCTTCCAGCAAGCTTTTGAGTTACAAACCCAGACAAGACAGGGGCTCTGCTGGCTTAGGACAGACGGTTACCCTGCTTTTAAAACCTTTCCAAGGCTCCCAAAGTAATCCCAAATGTTTCAAAGTAATCCCAAATGCCTTACAGTGGCCACTAAGTATGGGCCCCTGCCATCCCAGTGGCATCCCTTGCCCTCCACCCACCATGTCTGGCCTGCTTTCCATCTCACAGGGGTAAATGGCTCCTTCCATGAGATATTTCCATCATCTACTTTCCTTCCCCATTCCTACCTGAATAAATTAACCCCCTAGTAGGACTCCTCTTCCAGATCATTTTTTCAAGGAGTTCCCTGAATATAGAGTCTCTCTGTTGGGCCCTCCTTTTCCTCACAGTATGAATCACAAGTGGTCAGCTCTGACTGTTGAACAGGCTCCAACACAAGTACAGCACCCGAGCCCACTGCCTCCTGTTGAGTACCTCTCACTCCCAGGGTTTGGGGCACCTGGAAGGAAGAAGTCACTCCCTTGGGGTAGGGCAGAGCGGGTGTCACCTTACATGGTGAAGTCCTTCTCCTCCTTGATGCGTTCAATGTTGTGTCTGAGCACTGTGTTCTCATGCTCTGTCTCCGCTAGTTCGTGGGCCACCTCTTCTAATTCTTCTTTCCGTTCCTCCAGGAACCTTTTTGCCATCTGGCGCTCACCCTTCTGCATCTTGACCTGTGCAGGGGTACACAGGCAGGGGCCACTGAGGACAGGCTCTCTCTTGATACCACATTGCTAGGCCCAAACTAATGCCTCTCTAGTTAAGAGCACATGGATGCGGTATGGGGGTCTCATGGGATTTAGAGAGCAGTCAATGAATTATCACAAACTCTCCCAGAAGATGCTATTCCTCTCATTTTGTGGATGAGGAAACTGAGTGACCTGCTGGTTGGGGATGGAGTTAGGTTGCAATAGTGGTTCAGTTGGCGTAATACAGAGGACAGACGTCACAAAAAGGCCATTGCACAGTAGGCTACAGGGGCAAGCAGGCCTGTTGCCAAGCAGCCAGCCCTAGGTTCTCTGGGAAGGTCCCTGGACCATGAGCATAGAGTTGAACCTGAACACAGGTCAAGTCAGCAGCCAGGACCTGGCTTCCAATATCAGCCCCACCAACTTCCTGGATAGGGACCTTAGACATTCAGAGTTCTGTTTCCCCAGGGACAGCTCTGCAAACTTCCTTTGTCTCCCTGGGCCTTTTCTTTTTTCAACTTTACAGGCTGTCCACATTAAGCATTACACAAGCTAAGTGCTCCACAAAGCCATTTTGTGGGAATCCAGGTGGACCCACAACTCCTCCTCAGGTGGAGCCTTGTGACATCCAGGACAGTGTTACTGAGGGTAAGAGGCCTATTAAGAGGCAGCTTGAGTAGCCAAGTCCACTAGTAACCAGCCTGGGCTGCCTCCACAGTCCTAGGGGCACTAGCTGTCCTACTCCCTCACCTCAGACTTGAGGCAACCAACCGCGTTCATTAGACTGTCAATCTTCTTATCATAGTGGTTCATTTTACAGTTTCCCGAGTCGTCATCTTCGGTAGAGAGATCACTTAAGCGCATCACTGAGACCAGCTTTTCTGAAGATGGAGGTGTGATCTCCAGGCAATGAGGTGGAGTCTAATGTCAAGGAGGAGAGACGCGTGAGCTCCCAAGTCCAAACCTCAGCAGCATTTCCAGCGCAGCTATTTGTTCACTGGAGATTTGTCAACTGCTGAAGCAGGAAGATCTAAAACAGCTCTAAGCCAGCCCCCAGGGTCCTGCCTTAGAAGACCACCACTCCACACTTTCCCCATGGAACATTACCCACCCACTTCTAAAAGTTCTTTTCAAAGAATGTCTAACATCAAAAGAAACAGCTTAGGTTAGAATGTTAAGTTTAAGACAAAGAAATTCAGGTGTGTTTGGCACATGTTTGTAATGCTAGCTACTCAGGAGGCGGGGGCAGAGGACTGTTTGAGGCCAGCCTGGGCAACAGAGAGAGACCCAGTCTTAAAAGAGAAAAGAGATATGGTTATATTTAAAGTATTTTCCCGATGTGACAAATACTTTAAAAAAATATAACATAGCCAGGAAAGTTATCACATATCTACAAATCCAGCTACTCAGAAGGCTGAGCATCACAAGTCTGAAGCTAGTTTGGGCAATTTAGCAAGATCTTGTCACAAAATAAAATTGAAAAAAGAATTGGGGATGTAGTTCAGCGGTAGAGCACTTGCCTAGCTTGTGTGAAGCCCTGGGTTCAATACCCAATACTGAAAAAAAAAAAAAAAAATCAGTATAAAAAGTGTTTTAAGAAAATACATGTACACCTCAGAAAAGCCAATGCAAAGCTGTATGACACTTTGCTTTTAGGACTCTGGAAAGAAAAATATAATCTGGTGGTCAGGTTTTTCATGGGTTTTTAACCCTGAATTTTACTCTCTCAATCTATAAATTTATTCTGATGTATTATATCATTTCTCAATATTTATACAATTACACTGAGATGGCAAACCTAATGTGCCAACCTCCAGGGGGAAATGATGACCATCAGGAATAAAAAGAAGTTCAATAAGATGTAATTGTGACATGAGTACTCCTATTGAGTATAATTAATAAAGAGCATGTGCTTCTATTTCTTTTTTATCTTTTCTTTGTGGTGCTGGGGATTGAACCTGGGGCTTTGTGCATGCAAGGATTGAACCTAGGGCCTTGTGCATGCAAGGCAAGCACTCTACCAACTGAGCTATATCCCCACAGTCCTTGTGCTTCTATTTCTGGGGAGTTATTAACAATACTAAATTAAGACTGATGGGGGCTGGGGTTGTGGATCAGTGGTAGAGTGATCACCTACCACATGCGAGGCCTTGGGTTCGATCCTCAGCACCACATATAAATAAATAAATAAATAAATAAAGGTATTGTGTTGTCCAACTACAACTAAAAAAATAAATATTAAAAAAAAAAAGGAGGGGTGCTGGGGATGTGGCTCAAGCGGTAGCGCGCTCGCCTGGCATGTGTGCGGCCTGGGTTCAATCCTCAGCACCACATACAAAACAAAGATGTTGTGTCCACCAAGAACTAAAAAATAAATATTAAAATTCTCTCTTTCCCTCTCTCTCTTTAAAAAAAAAAAAAAAAAAAAAAAAGACTGAGCTGGGCATGGTGGTGCTCACCTGTAATCCCAGTGGCTCAGGAGACTGAGGCAGGAGGATCATGAGTTCAAGGTCAGTCTCAGCTATTTAGGCCCTAAGCAATTCAACAAGACCCTGTCTCTAAATAAAATATAAAAAAGGAATGGCGGTGGATGTGGCTCAGTGTTAGTTAAGTGCCCCTGGTTTCGATCCCTGATACCAAAAAAAAGGAGAACACTAGGACTGAGCCAGGACCTGTAGCACATGCCTATAAACATAGGAACTAGAGAAGCTGAGGAAAGAGGATCTTTTTTTTTTTTTTTAATATTTATTTTTTAGTTTTCGGCAGACACAACATCTTTGTTTGTATGTGGTGCTGAGGATCAAACCCGGGCCGCACGCATGCTACGCAAGCGCGCTACCACTTGAGCCACATCCCCAGCCCCACAAGAGGATCTTTTAAGTTCAAGGCCAGCTCCAGCAATTTACTGAGACCTCACCAACATACCAAGACCCTATCTCAAATAAAAATAAAAGGGCTGGGATTGTGGCTCAGCGGTAGACCGTTTGCCTAGCATGTGCAAGGCCCTGGGTTCAATCCTCAGCACCACATAAAAATAAATAAAATAAAGGTATTGTGTCTAACTACAACTAAAAAATAAATAAATAAATAAATAAAAAGGACTGAGGCCAGGCAAGGTGGCTCATGCCTGAAAGCCCAGTGGTTCGAGAGGCTAAGGCAGAAGGCTCACAAATTCAAACCAGCCTCAGCAAAAGGTGCTAAGCAACTCAGTGAGATCCTGTCTAAATAAAATACAAAATGGGGCTGGGGATGTGGTTTAGTGGTCGAGTGTCCCTGAGTTCAATCTCCAGTACCAAAACAAAACAGGACTGGGGATGTAGCTCAGTGGTAAAACACCCCTGGGTTCAACCCCCAGTATTTCCCCCACCAAAAAAAAAGAATACCAAGACTGAAATGGGTATAGCGGTTCTCGCATGTAATCCTGGCTGCTCAGGAGACTATGGCAGGAGGATTGCAAATCTTATGGCAGCTTGGGCAATTTAGCAAGACCCTGCATCAAAAAAAAATTTTTTTGTGGTCTTAGTCATGTATCCTTTTTTTTTTTTTTTTTAAAGAGAGAATTTTTTAATATTTATTTTTTAGTTTTCGGCGGACACAACATCTTTGTATGTGGTGCTGAGGATCGAACCCGGGCCGCACGCATGCCAGGCGAGCGCGCTACCACTTGAGCCACATCCCCAGCCCCTTAATCATGTATCCTTGATATGATCTTATATAAATGTTAAAAGCGATATTCACATTATTCAGAAATTTTAAATTTGTTCTTAATCAAAGTAACATATGCATATAGTTTTTAAACTCCGATGATGGTGGGACTTTCAGATATATATCAAAATTTTTAAAAAAGGCTGGGGATGTAACTCAGAGGTACAGTACTTGCCTAGCATTGCAAGAGGCCAAGTTCAATCCCCAATACTGAAGGGGGAAAAAAAAAGAATACTGAGATTATGCCTGGAGTTCCAGCTAGTCAGGAGGCTGAGGCAGGAGGATAGTATGAGGTTAAGACTTTAAAGGCCAGTCTGGAAAACATAACTACATCCCTTCTCAAAACAACAACAACAAAAAAAAAAAATACTGAGTTTCTTAACTGTTTTCAAACAACTTTTACAAATATTATCTTTATTCTTTAGGAGAAGATATGGCAAATATACCTTCATAATCACAGATTAGATAAAATTTATAAGTTTGTCAAGTTTTCCCTTGATATTGAGAACCCCATCACTATTATCATGTACATGTAAATAAAGGTGTTTCTTTCCTAGTGTTTAAAAAAAAAAAAAGAATACCAAGACCATGAGTCAATATTTAAATTCAAGGCAAGGATAGAGATATATGTATAAGAAAAAAAAACATTGGTTCAAAACACAATGGTACAAATGCACATACAATGGAAAGCTGTCTTTAAAAATAAAGGGCATGGCTGGGGCTCAGCACTGGGGCTCAGCGCTGGGGCTCAGTGCTGGAGTGCTTGCTTAGCACAGGTGAGGCATTGGGTTCAATCCTCAGCACCACAGAAAGAAAGGCGGGGGGAGAAAGAAAGAAAGGTTAAATAATAATAATAATAATGTGCAGTTGCTTGCTTTGTCATCAAAATAAAATTTGAACAATACAGAGAAGATTAGCATGGCCTCTGTGCAAGGATGACACACAACTTTGAGAAGTGTTTCATATTTTTAAAAAATTCATATAAAATAAAAATAATATGCAATGATGGGATACAGTGGCACATGCCTGTAGTTCTAGCTATCTGAGAGGCTGAGGCAGGAGGAGCACCTTCAGCCCAAGGGTTGAGATCAGCCTGCCAACACAGTGAGACATTGTCTCAGGAAAAAAACACAGTGTGTAATCATGAATGAAGTATGATCCCACTCTTTCATTTTTTTGGTACTGGGGATTGAATCCAGGAGCACTTAACCATTGATTTGCTCACATCCCCAGCCTTCTTTTGAATTTTATTTAGAGAAAGGGTCTTGCTGAGTTGCTTAGGGTGTTTCACTAAGTTGCTGAGGCTGGCTTTGAACTCGCAATCCTCCTGCCTCAGCCTCCAAAACCATGTTCACCACCACACCTAGCTGATCCAATTCTTTCTAAAAGCAAAAAGAGTAAGTATACCAGCCAGATAATGTGGCGCACACCTGTAATCTCAGTGACTCAGGAGGCTGATGCAGGAGGACCAAGGCCAACCTCTTTGTGAGACCCTAAGCACTTAGCGAGACCCTGTCTCAAAATAAAATAGCTAGGCATATAGCTCCATGGTAAAGGGCCCCTGGTTTCAATTCCCTAGTACCAAAAAAAAAAAAAAAAAAAAAAAGATTATTCCTAAGAAAAGATCAGGAAGGGGCTGGGGTTGTGGCTCAGCAGTAGAGCACTCGCCTAGCATGTGCCGGGCGCTGGGTTCGAGCCTCAGCACCACATAAAAATAAAAAATAAAGGCATTGTGTCCAGCTACAACTAACACAAAATATTAAAAAAAAAAAAAAATCAGGAAAATTTCAGACAGTGTAACTACAACTCTATTTTAAAAACCAATAATAGGGGGCCAGGGTTGTAGATCACGGGTAGAGTACTTGCCTAGCATGTGTGAGGCACTGGGTTCAATCCCTGGCACCACATAACAATAAAAACAAATAAAATAAAAGGTATTGTGTCCATATACAACTAAGCAAATATATAAATAATAATAATAGGGCTGGGGGTGTAGCTCAGTGGTAGAGCACTTGCCTAGCACATGTGAAGCACTGGGTTCAATCCCCAGCATCACATAAAAATAAATAAATAAAATAAAGGTACTGTGTCCATCTACAACTAAAAATATTTAAAAATATGGGCTGGGGATGTAGCTCAGTTGTAGAGCACTTGCCTAACATGTGTGACACCCTTGTTTAATCCCTAAGCACTATAAAACAACAACAAAATCATGCATAGGATAAAATACGATAGTAAATGAACCAGGGCAATTGCTTCTTTTGGGGTGACAGGAAGGCAGTGATAGGAACAAGATAATGGGCAAATTCCAGAAAGCAGGGGCTGGCTGCACAGGTGAATCTGGCTTGGAATGGTACATCAAGCAATATGCTTGGGATGTGCAGGCTCCCCTGTAGTTTTCAACAAAAACTTTTTACATAACAGTAACCAGTCTGAATAGAAGAATTACAGGTGTTTGTTTATTTTTCTATGTCCTCAAATTCAATAATGGGGCAAAGAAAAATCCTAGATCTCCATTCTCCCAAAGACAATAACTGGGGGGTAGAGATCAGTGGTGGAGCATGTGGTAAGCATGGACAGCCCTCTGGGTTGGATCCTTAGCACCAAAAAAAAAAAAAAGAAAAAGAAATTCAAACAAGAATCCCACACACACAGAGAAAATTCTAGTCTCCATTTCCAGCTCTACCCTCAAACTTCTACCTCCTGGGATCGTTTTCCTTTTGTTCATAATGGAAAAGGTCAGATAAGGGCTTCCCAGGAACACACGCAGCCACAGGGGAATGGAAAAGGGCAGATCCAAAAGGGAAAGCAGGAAAGACAGTCACTGTTTGAGCTTGGACAAGTCACCTTTCTGGACTCTTAAGTTCTAGGATTCTGTGGCCACAGAACTGGAGTCATGATTGAGCTTTCCAGAGGGGGCCATCATTCCTAGCAAACCATGTCAACAGGAAGTCAATTTTCTCAGGCAGCAACATCTTTTTAATGAATACTTTTAAAACTACCAAGTCTTTTCATTTTTTTAAAAGGCATTTTTGCTGGGCATGGTAGAACATGCCTGTGATCCCAGTAACTCAAAAGGCTGAGGTACGAGGATCACAGGTTCAAGGCCAGCTCAGCAACTCAGTAAGGTCCTAAGCAACTTAGGGAGACCTTGTCTCAAAATAAAAAATAAAAATAAAAAGGGCTGGGGATGTGGCTTAGTGGTTAAGCATCCCTGGGTTCAATCCCCAGTATCAGATAAGTAAATAAATAAATGGCATATTTATTTATTTATTTACCTGTTTAGTTATTTCAGTGCTGGAGTTGAACCCAGGCCCTCAAGCACACTGGACAAGCTCCCCTCCAAAGAGCCACATCCCCGATCCCTAAAAAGGCATTTTTAATTATAAAATATATTATATTTATTGTACATAAATTTAAGTAGGCCACAAAAAAATAAAACAGCAGAGCAAACTCCTGGGTCCAATCCCCAACACCAAAAATAAAGTATAATAGTAGAGCCTGACACGGATCAGAAGTAATTACTGCTTACTGATTTTCTTGCATATCTTCCTGGAAATGCTGTCCATAAAACTCATACATACACATACAGAGACAACCTTTTTTCTGTACAAATAGGGCCAAACTCTTCATGTTGTATATCTCTGTGCTTCATTATCATGTACAAACATCAATCTCAATATCTTTGTATGGCTGTGTGGTATTTCCCCATATCATAATTTAACCAAAACCCCCAATATACATTTAGGTTGCTTCCCATTTTTCTGTAACTATTAAGTCATAAGCAATTTCTAAAAAGGACCTCAGTACTTTTCTGTGCTTTTTAAGGAAAAAATCCTAGATAAGAAACTACAGGGCTGGGGATGTGGCTCAAGCGGTAGCGCGCTCGCCTGGCATGCATGCGGCCCGGGTTCGATCCTCAGCACCACATACAAACAAAGATGTTGTGTCAGCCGAAAACTAAAAAATAAATATTAAAATTCTCTTTAAAAAAAAAAAAAAGAAACTACAGATTGATGGTATCCAACTACATAAAATATCTGCAGAACAGTCACATCAGTTTCACAGGCCCATTGAAAATGTCTGAAAAGATTCTTGATATCCCACATGCTTGATGATACAGTATATTTATAATCTTTTAAACTTTTTTCCATTCAGTAAAAATGATAGCACATTGTCTACTTTTCTTTTAAAATGAATACTATTTTCAATTTAAGTTCCAATGATTTTTAGTGAGGTATGAATAGTACAAAAAGTCAGAGAGCATTTTAATTCCAACTGTTTGTTTTCTGGTGGTGGAGTGCTAGGAGTTGAACCCAGGACTCACACATGCTAAGTATGAGCTCTACCATGGAGCTAAATCCCAGCGCCAAATTTCAATCTTTCATATACGGTCAGAACAACTTCCATTTATTCCTGACACTACTCCAGTTCCTTTTGTCTTTTAGGGATAAACTGGTAAAATAAGAGAGTCAAAACTATGATGTATATGACTATGAACATCAGAATATAACTTTTGGGGCTGGGGATGTGGCTCAAGCGGTAGCGCGCTCGCCTGGCATGCGTGCGGCCCAGGTTCGAGCCTCAGCACCACATACCAACAAAGATGTTGTGTCCACCGAGAACTAAAAAATAAATATTAAAAAATTAAAAAAAAAAAAAAAGAATATAACTTTTGTTTTACATTTCTAATTGTAAAAGTAACAAATTAGCTGGGAATGTAACTCAGAGGTACTGTGCTCCCCTAGCATGTACAGGGCCCTGGGTTCAATTTCCAGCACTGCCAAAAAAAATTTTTTTAAAAGTAGCCTAGGGGCTGGGGATGTGGCTCAAGCGGTAGCGCGCTTGCCTAGTATGTATGCGGCCCGGGTTCGATCCTCAGCACCACATACAAAGATGTTGTGTCCGCCAGAAACTAAAAAAATAAATAAATATTAAAATTCTCTCTCTCTAAAAAAAAAAAAAAAAGTAGCCTGGTGTGGTGGTGGCCAGTGCCTGTAATCCCAGTGTTGTGGGAGACTAAGGCAGGAGGATCCAGAGTTCAAAGTCAGCCTCAGCAACTTAGTGAGACCCTAAGCAATTTAGCAAAACCCTGTTTCTAAATAAAGTATAATAAAAGGCTGGGGATGTGGTTCAATGATAAAGTGTCCCTGGGTTCAATCCTCAGTACAAACAAAAATAAAAATGAAAAAAAGATTTCTCATTTTAAAAGTAACAAACTAGTTGGGGATATAGCTTAGAGGCAGAGCACTTGTCTAGCATACACAAGGCCCTGGGTTAAATTTCCAGTACTGGGGAAAAAAAAAAAAAAAGTAGCCTGGTGTGGTGGTGGACAAATGTAATCCCAGCAGCTCAGGAAGCTGAGGCAAAAGGATCACAAGTTCAAAGCCAGCCTCAGCAATGGTGAGGCACTAAGCAACTCAGTGAGACCCTGTCTCTAAATAAAATACAAAATAGGGCTAGAGATGTGACTCAGTGGTCGACTGCCCATGAGTTCAATCTCCAATACTAAAAAAATAAAAAAAAAAAAAGACCCCGTCTCAAAATATAAAATAAAAAGGCTAATGATGTAGCTCAGTGACTAAGCACCATTGAGCTCAATCCTCAGTACCAAAAAAAAGTAATAAACTGTAGGAAAAAGAATGAACTTCAAATAAATTAAGCATCATCAAAGCTGTCCTAAGGCCTTTATTTGTCCCAATGAGATCTTTGTTCAAAACATGGCCAAAAGGCTCTTAGCCCTGTCTTATCATTGAATCTTTTCATTGCAATTGATGAGAAAGTAAGATTAAAGAGATACATCTGCCCCATTTGTAGCTGTAACCCAACTGTCCAGCAATTCATTGGACTCTCAACAAATACATGCTGAATCATTACATGGATAGAAAATGGATGGATGGGTTGGTTGATTGGTGGGTCAGTCGATATAGATGGTAGATAGTGGGTGGTAGGCAGATGAATGGATAAATGGATGGATGAATGGATGGATGGATGGATGGATGGAAGGAAGGATGAACAGATGGATAGGTGGACAGGTGGGTGGGGTGAAAGAGACAAGCAAAACATGTTAAGATGTGACAAAAAAAAAAAAAAAAAGACACTAGTTCCCTTAATCACTATTACTAAAGAAAATTAATTATTCCATAGAAAACTGTTTCAAAAGTGGTTTTGAAAAAGCAGCATCTATGGGATACCCATATTACAATGTGTTGGAATATGCTGGGGGGGGTATGTGTGTATGTGTGTATAGTTTTATATATTGCTCCAGGTGCTGTAAGAGATATATGGGGGAAACATATACATAGCTTCTCCTTCTAGCCTCTAGAAGGAGTCCTAATCTTTGTTATTTTCTCTGGAATAAATCAGTTCTCTCTTAACATCAGTTTCTTCATTCCTAGCATACGACAGCAGAACCTACCACATAGCAGTACTGTAAGGAATTGAGAAGAGCCACATACTTTCAGGATTTAGCAAGGGCCTATTAGGATGTCTCCAGCAGCTACAGGCAACCCTGAGTCACACCGACTTTGAGGCCTGCTAGAATCTGACCAGTCCGAGAAGAAAAGCCTGAACAAGAATGAGCCTACCTCCCACTTGCATCCCACATGCCGGGCAGATGATTTTCCAGGGGGCATCCAAGGTACCTTGGTTTTCACCCGGACACTCCGCCGCACATTCACGGTGTCCCCTTTCATTCCGCGCTTATGAGATTTCTGTTGAAAGGTACAAACCCAGGGTCAACTCCATGCCCAGCTGGCCACAGTGTCACTCTGGTGGCATCCACCTCCAAACTCTGCAGGGGCGCCTCTCCTGACTAAAGTTACTGCTGCTGTTGCTAGATAACAGGCGCCTACCTTCTAACCAGGCAAGTGACTTCTGGAATAGAGTATGTGTCTTCCAACCTCTGGAATCAGAAGCGCACGAGGAGGCTGGGCCGGGAGGTATCACCCTGATCCACAGCTGTTACCTCGCCCGCTGGCATGCTCCTACCTGGGTGCTGGTCGCTGGAGGTTTCGGGAGTTTTTTTATGTGGACATGGACAGGGGTGTTTTCATCCACGTGAACGTGTAAGGGGGGAGTTGAAGAGCGGTCCTTCATGGTTCGCTTCTGGCAGGCGGGGGAGAGCAACACAAAAAAGGTTGATCTGTGGACGAGTAAACTGGGCATAAAAACAGAGCTCATAGTCTCTGGGGAGAAAGCCTAGCCACCAAGCGAGCAGGACAGCAACAACTACTAGCATGCAGGCAGGAACCAAGGCACTGAGTATCATTCGGCAGGCATCCGAAGAGATCCCAGCTGAAGACCACCGGGAAGACCCAGGTTCACACAAGAGAGGGGTCTGTGAGACCAACCAGCTCTATAAGAGAGCCCAGATGCAGACTCTAGGTCCCCAGAGCTGAACTGCCTTCTAAGCCTGCCGGAATGCAAAGCTCCTCCTTGGATTTGGTGTAGCTCAGCTAGAAAGCAGGTGGATCCTTCTAGAGTGCATGCAGATTAGCATGGGAAATGCACAACATGGTTAGGATGCAGAATAGGACAGCAGGCAGGCAAAGACTGTTAAAATATAAAGCCAGCAGAAATGCCAAGGATGAGAAGGTTTTCTAAAGAAACCATGAGCAGGGAAGAACCCCAGCTACAAACCTGTGCCTACTGCCAGATCCTATCCCCTGCCCTTAATCTTTTTAAAATTTTCTCCTAGGTGATGGGGATATAGCTTAGTGGCAGAGCACCTGCCTCACATATGCAAGGCCCTGGGTTCGATCCCCAGCAATGCAATACATAAACCAAATAACTTTTTTTATACATTTATTTTTCCTTTCCTTTTATCAAATCGCTGTCCTAAGATTTTGGAATTTTCCTGGAAGGACAATGTTAAGACGACCCCCTCACAATTGGCAGCCTATTACAGGAAAAAAAAAATAGTAAGAAATCAGCAGGGTATGCGCAACAGCACTATGCAGAACATTCAGACCAGCAGGGTTCGGAGTTCCTAGGAAAGGTATGCAGAAGTATTTCTGGCTGGGTCACAGACCAGAGAGGGCTGCTCATGTGCACGTCACCTACCGTCACAGTTACACTTGGTGCGCCACAAGGTGTTCTCAAGACCTTTTTCTGCGTGAGACTCGTTACTCCGTTCTTTCCACACGATGGAAACCTGCACCCGGGCATAAAAACCAGATTATAAGCAGAAAACTAGGTCTTTCTTATTTCTTAGATCTCTGAAGACTATACACTGCATGTGATGACTAATGAGTTCAAAGCCAGGAGAGCCAGTCTAGAATCCCTCAGCTCCCTGAAAATGAGCACCAGACACGCATGGTGCGCCCAGCAGTAGGATGGAAACAGGGCAAAGGGCATTTATATAGCTAACCTTTTATAACCTGCCATTGCATCACATGTATTGTGACCTTTTGCTGAGGAGCTTAGCTGTCTGTCATCCTGTTAGGTGACAAAAAGTAGGCAGCATCTGAGAGCAGCAAAAGTGCTACTTTGGGCAAGTGTGACAATCTCCAGAATAGTGCCTGGAGCTGAGGTAGTGCCTAGAGCTGAGGTAGTGCCTGGAGCTGAGGTAGTTCTGGAGAAATACTCAGTGAATGAATAACATAAAGAGAACAGAGACAGGGCTGGGGTTGTTGTGGTAGAGTGCTTGCCTAGCATGCATGAGGCACTGGGTTCAATCCCCAACACCACATTTAAAACAAAACAAAACAAAACAAAAAAACTAAATAAACAAAGAGAACAGAGCCAGATCAGCTGGGAAGGCTGGGGAAGGACTGTGAGTTCAAAGCCAACCCCAGCAACTTAGCAAGGCCCTGAGCAATTCAGGGCTGTCTCTAAATAAAATATAAAAAAGGGCAGGGGATGTGGCTCAGTAGGTATGATACCACTGGATACCAAAAAAGAGAGAGAAAGAGACAGAGAGGGAGAGAAAGAGAGAGAGGAAATAGAACTTTCAGCTGAGGAACAAAGTCACTGTGAATCAAACTCAAATTAAGGCTCAGATATTCAACTTTCTGATATACATATAGCCCAGCACCAGATTTGCAAAGACAAAAAAAAATTTAATCTATCCAAAATCTGCCAGTACATGTAATTCCAGGATGAGAGGGGTCTTGGAATAATCATTTGATCCATCCTATTGTCTCCTGACATCCCCCACAAGTTATTGGGGGAAATAATGCAACAGAAAAATAATCAAGCACTTCAGCATGCATTTTATGGTATTTGTATATCACACCTTGGGTTAAAAAATGGAAAAAATTATTTATTGAGTCCTGCTAATCATTTAGCCAAGGAACACCAAATCTGGGAAGACAGCCCCTCCCCCATTACATTTCTGTCCTCTTAAAAACCAATAGTTTGGGGAAAGACCATCAAGCCACCTGTATTTCATCATCAACTTGCTAAATTATGCATCCTCCTCCAACAACATATTTATTTACACCAGGCATCCTTTTAAAAACGCTCAGAGCTTAGTACTCCACTAAGACAACAAGGGTGACCCTGTTTGCTACCAGGAAGCTGCCACACTTGGGGAAGGGAGAGGGGGAGGCAGAGATGGGATGTTGTGTGTTAATTTCTTTCCTCCTCCCCTTAAAAATTATTTTTAAGTGTTTTAGTACAGACTCTTAGTACACAGAACAGGGAAGCTGAAAAAAAGAAGCTCCCAGCAAGCCTGCCAGGGGACCCCTGACCACCTTCCCCTGCCCTGTGGCAGAGGTGCCCCCCACATTGGCAGTACCTTGGGGAGCCGCCTGAGGATGAGGCAGACATGGCTAGGCATCAAAGCCGCAAAGGTGGGCAATTGGGTCAGCAGGCTCTGCTCAGGGAAACCCAGAGGGGCTTGTCAATGAGAATCTCAGGGGCCCAGCATCAAACGTCCTCTCTGAGGGGAGGAGGGTGGAAGCTTGGGGGGTGGCAGTTGGATGAAAACTTGGGAGGCGCTCCTCTACTGTCCAAGTCGCACAGCAACTGTCCTGCCAAAGTGGGAGGAGATAGGAGAGGCTGAGCAACCTGCAGGGCGCCAGGTGGGCAGCCGGTAGGCAGGTGAGGGGAGCTCAGTTCCCCGGGTAGGGTCAAGGGAGGGTGGAGCTGCGAGGGAAAGGATCACCACGCGCAGGCCCCACCCGGGAGGGAGGGTGGGTGACTACCAGGGGGAAAACCTGAGGGCTGGCTGGCGTGCGAGGAGGGCCGGTGAGAACCGCTAGGCCCCAAGTGGGCCCCCAAGGGGCGGGAACCCTGCTGGGAGCTGGAGGGATATTCGGGGCGGGGCCGGAGTAACTGTTTCCTAGGAGAAGGGGCGTTCCCGGCAGAACAGATACCCGGGAGGACCAATAGTATTTGAAGGAGGGAGGCGCGGAGGCTGAGGGGCAAGGGGCGCTCGGCCGCGAGGGGGCACCCGGACTGCTGGGGACTGCGCTCCCAGGCGCAGCAGAAGCCGAGTTAGAGAGGGCTAGACGCCGGGCTGTGCAGGCAGCGGGCGGGATGCCGGGCGAGGCCCCTGGGCGGCCCGGAGGCGATGTCAGGGGACTGCGCTGCCCACTCGTAACTGCTGTGCCGAGGCCCGCAGGGAGGATGAGGCGACCGGCCGATGCCCGCCGACCGGCAAGAGAGCGAGGGGAAAGCCTCCGACGTGGATAGAAGGGACGGCCACCCACCAGTGGGCAGGAGGGAACCGGTTTCTGCCCATAGAGAAAAGGGCGAAGCCCTGCCCGAGGGCAGCAGAGGAAGGGGCAGAGCCCCGCCGACGGCCGGGAGAGGAGCGAGGCGGCCGGCCCACCCGTTAGCGGGAGGAGAAGCCCCGCGCCGGGGGGCGGGGCGGGGCTGGGTTCTGACAGAAGGGACGAGCGCGCCACAGGCCCGGACCCGGCGCGACCCGCCGGGGAACCGCAGGACCCGCCGGGGCTACCGCACCGGGGGTGGGAGCGGGCGACTTGCCGCGGGGACGCCCGGAGCGCCCGGTCCCGCCTGCCGGCGGCCTCTCACCAGGAGCGACACGGCTGCGCCCAGAAACGCCTCCTTATGAAGTCGTTGAAGTCGGTGGCCAGGGACGTGCCATGGAGACGCCGCGACAGAAGCAGTCCGGCTCCGGCGGCGGCTCCTCCCCGCTTCCGCCTCCTTTTCCGACACCCGGTCGGCAGCTCGCCCATTGGCCAGTTCAAACCCCCCCCGGAGCCTCTCGGGTTTCGCCATTTAGACCCAGCCCCTGGCGTCACAGAGATGCTCCGCCCACTTCCGGGCCACGCGTCCAGTCGCCAGGGAGACGCGCGACGCCTCCAGCGGGCCTGCTGGGTCTTGCCCAGCGGTTTAGAGACCCACTGTCCACTCCGCCATTTTCCCTGCCTCAGGTCCTCCTGCTTCCCAGAACTCAAACGTCCAAGCCCCACCGCGCTCCCTGGGATTCACACTAGGAAACCAGGCCCAAAGGGGTCACAGAACAAGTTAGTCGCCCGGGCTGCACACTGCTTCTGGAAATCCAGTACTGCCCAGTCCACAGTGCGTAACTGCTCACACTCTGCCCACATAGGAGAAAGAGTCGGAATGCCCCTTGTCCCTTGCCCGCCTGCACACTGTAGGCCGCTCTCTGTACAGACCTATTCTGATGAGGTTTTTGGTGGGTCGCCATCTTCTCAACTCCGCTTCACTGTCAGCCAGCCAATCCTGGGGCGCTGTCACGTGGCTCACAGTGCCGCCCTGGATTCTGGGAGACTTTCACAACTTCAGGGTCACTTGGCCTCCTTAGTCACTTGGCCTCCTTAGTTCAACGACCTTCCCCGGCCCTTTGGCCGTGGAACCCTAGCGTCATACCACTATTCCACCTGAAATCTTAAATTCCAGCATACCTCTCTTTGATGCATAACCTGATTTTCTGCCTTCAGGAACTTCACCATCTACCATACAGTATTTGTTCTTCAATGCTAGGGAGCCCTCACTTCCTCCACCCACTCATTTTTCCCACGTTTAACAATGGCTCTACAATCCCTCTTGTAACCCAATCACAAGAGGTTCTGCAAACATCAAATCCACCAGTCCTTGCCTCCACCCTCAATTGACACACAGGCCACCATCAAGCAATTGCTCTATTTGTCCCTAGACCCTTCCCAACAATGGGTTTTTCAAATCTTTTCCTCTTCCCCATCTCATACTCAAAATCTCCTTTTTTAGGCGGGGGTGGGGAGAAGTGGGGGAGGGGACGGGGGAGTACTGGGATTGAATTCAGGGGCACATCCCCAGCCCTATTTTGTATTCTATTAGACACAAGATCCCACTGAGTTGTTTAGCAACTCATTAAATTGCTGAGGCTGGCTTTGAACTCTTATCCTCCTGACTTCTGAGCCGCTGGGATTATAGGTGTGCACCACCATCCCACTTGGCTCAAGATCTCGTCAGGCTGGGGATGTGGCTCAAGCGGTAGCGCGCTCACCTGGCATGCGTGTGGCTCCGGTTGGATCCTCAGCACCTCATACAAACAAAGATGTTGTGTCCACCGAAAACTAAAATAAATATTTTTTAAAAAATTCTCTCTCTCTCTCTCTCTCTCTCTCTCTCTCTCTCTCTCTCTCTCTCTCTATTTAAAAAAAAAAGATCTCGTTTTTCATAGAGAAAAAAATAAAGTCATCAAGTGGAATTCCCTTAACCTCCCTATCCTTTCTCTATTCTCCCATCCTTAATTCTCCATTCAGGGGTAGAAATATACTTCTTGCTACCTAAGATACACTTCCTGCTTCAAGGCCTAGAACAAACATTTCTGTAAATATGTCCCTTTTGCCATCCCCAAGACAGAACTGATCAATTCTCAGTGTCCCCACATTCATTGAACTCATTAAATCTGTGCTATGTGCCAAGCCCATTGTAAGGGGCATTTAAGTCTGATCAGTCTCCGATATTAGCCCATGCTCTGATATTGTAGTGTAACCAGAAAAAATGATTAAAGCTTTCCCCTCCCTATCTCCAAAGTGATTAGGCATATGTGGTTTCATCCTCTCAGCACCACCATCTAATAAGAATCTTGCCCTGCTGAATACAGTAGCACATGCTTATTATCCCAGGCATTGGGTAGACTGAGGCAGGAGGATCATGGCAAGGATCACTTAGCAAGGTCCTCAGCAGCTTATCAAGATCCTGTCTCAAAATTATAAAGAAATAGGGTTGGGGATATGACTCAGTGGTAGTGCCCCTGGATTAAATCCCTGGTACCAAAACCCAAAAAAATCCTGCCCTACCAGTGCATTTCTTTGGGATTTTGTGATCAAGAGTCACCCCACTCCCAACCCACACACTCTACAAGTACACAAACTGAGTGAAAGGAAGGAGGAAGAGGGAAATACTCAGAAGGTGGGATCAGGGAAGTTTGGGGGGAGTTGTGCTGAAGACAGGGGCTCAGGGTATGAAGATCATGGGATGGGGAAGAAAAGGGAAATTTTTAAAAACTAGAGCTGTGGTATGGATATCTGTCCTTTTTGTACTGTTTTAAAAATGCAAGTAGTGTGGCTGGGCTTGTGGTTCAGTTGGTAGAGTGATTGCCTAGCATGTGTGAGGCACTGGGTTCAATTCTCAGCACCACATATAAGTAAATAAATAAAGGTAAATCAACAACTAAAAAAAAACTTTTTTTTTAATGCAAGCAGCAAAAAAAAAAAAAATGCAAGTAGCTGGGCAACATTGTGATCCCACCTGTAATCCCAGTGACTCTGGAGGTTAAGTCAGAGGGATTGCAAATTTGAGGACAGCCTTGGAAAATTAATGAGACCCTGTCTCAAAATTAAAAAAAAAAGGGGGGGGGAGCTAGGGATATAGCTCATTGGTAAAGCGCCCCTGAGTTCAATCCCCAGTACCCAAAGAAAAGAAAAAGAAAAAGACATGAAAGTAAAAATCTTGAGTTCTTTTGATATTGCTTTGAATTGCTAGACCATGTTTTCTGAATGCAAACCACTCTTAGTCAGCGGGTGGTGGTTTTCAAAGCATTGTTGTGATCTTGCAGCTATTATAATAGAAATGTATACATGTCCAAGGAAAAGAAGGTACCAGCCAGGTGAGGCTACTGTGCTTGAACTACTGTAACAGTGGTCTGCTTTATGCTTTGAATATAACCCTTCCTCCTCTGCCACTGCAACTTATTCTTAAAATGGACAAGGTTCTTTTTCTTCTTCTCCCCTGCTCCTCCCTAATCTCTCCAGCTCCCTAGTCTCAGGGGAAACAGGGTTACCTTTCTTCCCCATTTTAGGCAGATTTATCTGCCCCTGAGCACACTTCCACTTTAGGAACGAAGTAATCCAGACTTTGGGAATGGTACCTGAAGATCTCAGAAGTGACTATATCCCAAATTAATAAGTGAATTACAACTCCAACAGAGAACAAATGGAACACTGTGGAACACACCTTTGAATCACCTCTTTAAAAGCTCCCTGTTCCTGCTGATGGGCAGAATCACACCCTGTGGGATAGGAATACCCGGTGGTTCTCCTTTGCTAGCAAAGCAATAAATCTTCTTTTTCCTTTTTTCTCAAAATTGTGTCCTCAGCACTGGGGACAAGGCCCAAGCTTTTGGCAACACTACTGTTGCAACTACTTGGAACCTGAGGCAGGAGGATGGCTATAAGCCCAGGAGTTGAGACCAGACTGGGTAACATAGATGTCCATCTCAAAAAAGGGGTGGGAGGTAGCTGGAAGTATAGCTCAATGGTAGAGTGCCTGCCTAGCATGCTTAAGGCTCTGCCTTCCATCTCCAGCACTCCTTTAAAAAAAATGAAGGTCCCAAACTGGGTGGGATGGCGCAGGCCTATAATCCCAGCAACTCAGGAATTCAAAGCCAGTCTTGGAATTTAAGGAGGTGCTAAGCAACTCAGTGAGACCCTGTCTCTAAATAAAATACAAAATAGGTCTGGGTGGTTGAGTGCCCCTGAGTACCACCCCCCTAAAAAAGGAAGGTTCCCAATATGCCTGGAGGCAGGAGGTGGTTCCCAGAGGTTAAGTGTTAGAAAAGCTGAGTCCATGACAGATGGTAGTAGAAGTTTGCCAGACAGACAAGCAAATGAGGGAACTCTAAACAGTAATAGGTGCAAAGATGGAACAAGGAAGGACAAGGGCGCACATGGAGAGAAGAGGCCTGGGCCATATCAATACTTAGGAGGTTGCCCTAACTGTGCTGCGACTGGCCCAGTGTCCTCACTGGACCATGAGTTCTTTGAGGGCTGGGATTATTATTATTTTATATTTTATTTTTTATTTGTAGTTGTACGCAATACCTTTATTTTGTTTATTTTTATGTGGTGTTGAGGATCAAACCCAGGGCCTCGCACATGCCAGGTGAACGCTCTACCGCGGAACTGCAACCCCAGCCCAAGGGCTGGGATTATTTTGCAGTCATTTCTGGAGACAAGAACTCCCTGCCTTCCAAAACCCACCTTTATCCAGAAGCTCATATTGACACATCATTTGGACCAATGAAGAGGTCAGAGTTTGGATCTCTTCTGTGTGGGTGTGTCTGGAAGCGGGCAGGGACTCCTGTGGGGAGGTGGTATTCAAGGGAGTTCACTGGTAGTCCCTGCAGGCTTTACCCTCCTCCTGTCCCAGTCCTCCAAGTAACTGTCAGTCAGAAATGACACCCATAGAAAGTGAGCTCAGAGAAGTCTGAGCTGTCAGGGCTGGAGGGCAGGAGTTAGGGTAGCCCAGGCTGGCTCTGTTCCTCATGTGAAATAAACATCCCTGACAATGATTCTCTAGGCAGAATCATAAGGCTTGTTAAAGCACAGAGTACTAGCCCTGATCCTCAAGGTTGCTGATCCAGTAAGTCTAATAAGAGGCCAGAGAATTTGTATTTCTAATAAACTCCTGGCCAGGACCACTAAAGTATTCACCAGGTGATTGCCACCTGCATACCACCCCAAAGTGTGGAGAATACCAGACCTGACCTCTGCATCCCTCATTTTTCCTAGTCCCTAGGGACAGTGACGGGAATTCTTGCTCTGGCTAATATAGATCTCATGGTTACAGAAAAACATCTAGAAATGTAGCCATTCCAGGAAATACAGATAGCCTGAAAAAATTCCTTGCTCAAACACAAAACACCCCAGAACAAAAAATGCTTTTCTCCTGCCTTTGTTTCTTAA